TAAGGCCTGAACTTGAGCATGCTTCATGCACATAAGGAAAACCACATGAGAAATGCCTTCACAGTATTTGCATAGCAGTACCAAGTAATACAAATGATTGAAGGATTGACCAAGACACTGAAAACTATTTTTAAATGTAATGCTACCAAATAACTCCCCTGCACTTGTAGCCATTTAAAAATACTATAAACATCCCCCCTAACTATGAAATTTGTACCTAAAGAATTACATAGAATTTGGGATGAATGCTTCCTACATTCCTACAGTGTCCTGTGATGTATGAAACTCCAGACTTGTCAACACTAGCCTTTGGTTTAGTTATTCAAATATTTAGGGCTTAGACATGCAAGATACCAGCAGAAATGTTATTAGTATGTTGGAAAATCCAGATGTTTAAGAGTAACACAATATATTGCCTGAACAGCACCCATAAGAAAGAACAAACCTAGGCTCCATTCTCTGGGGAATATTTCTTGAAGTTCTGGGTCTGTATCCTATTTTCTAGGACCTGATGGTCTAGGGCAATTCCTCAATATATGCTAACTACAGCTTTGGACAGTCATCCACCGTAGCTTGCAAAGAGGAAAAAGCCCACTTTTGTGAAGACAGAACTTTCTCAAAGTTGGTCTTCCCCTGGGGAATGAACTCCCTCAGAACTACCATCCATCCAAGATCTCATAATCTCACCACTTCCCATTCTCAGTAAAAGGTGGTTTTTTTCTGCCCATGACTTCTCCAAGTATTCAGAACCATGTGCATATTAAATAAAAATAATTCCAGACCAAGACGAATTCCCACAGATGAGACTTTCGGGTACCCTTCTGAAACAGGGCAGACTGTGCGAGAGGAGTGAATTACGGTCCTCCATGCACCTCGGAAGGGCACCTTCGATCCTACAGAGGTCAGAAGGAGGCAGGTACAAAATGAAGTACATGAGCAGAAACCGAGAGTTACATATACCCACCGAACACAGTTTCTACTTTTTCACATTCTTTCACTTTCTATTCCGATGATCATCTTTCACATGTATATGGAAATCATTTTAAAAACCAGAATATTGTTATCAGAGTGATTTCTCCCTGGAACACGGTAACACTCTGGACTCGGCTCCCCACCAACCTGTCACCACCTCTTTGCGTAGCCGCAGCGGAGTCAGCAGCTTTAGGCGGCCCGGGCTCGCAGCCCCCCGCCCCCCGCACACCCCCAGCGGCACCGCGATGCCCGCGCAGCATCCCCGCACCGCCAGCCGCTCCCGCTCCCGCCCGGGGCCGCTCCCGCCCGAAGTTCCGCCCTGCCGGGAGGAGGGCTGTTTCCGACAGGCCTCCGAGGGTCGCCGCACCTGACACCGGGGCGGGCAGGGCTCCGGGGACGCCGGCCGGGGCGGCGCGGCGGAGGAAGCTGCTACCGGCCCCGGCTCCCACCGCCTCCCGGCTCCGGAAGGGCTACCAGCCCCTTTCGCCCTCTTCCCGCAGGGACCGCTGGCGCAGAGCGGGATGGAGACGGGAGGCGGCGGCAGACGGCGGATCGGCAGCTCCGCGCTCCCCGCACCGGGAAAGGCGACGGCCGCTTACCGGGTCTGGCATCGGCGTGAGCGGCGCCGCGGACGAAGCGCGGGGCGGGGGGAGGCAGGAGCGGCGGGGCGGCCTGGGCCTCCTCCTCCTCCTCCTTCTCCGTCTGCTCCGCCGGCCTCGCCCCGCCGGGACGCGGAGCCCTGGGCGCCGTGCGCGGCAGGTGCGGGCGGCGCGGAGCCGAGCCTTGCGCCGCCGCAGCCGCCCGGGTTACGGTGCGGGGCGAAGGGAGGAGCCTGCGCCGCGCCGGGCGAGCGGCGTGGCCGCGTCCCGCTCTGCGCCGCGGGGTCCGGCCGCCGCCGCCGCCGCTGCAGCCCCGCGGGGGCGAGAGGGAGCGGCAGCCAGCGCTGGAGGGGGTGGCGGGCTCGGGCACAGGGGCCCGGGCGTGCGGCGTGGTGGCCCTGCTCACATGGCGTGTGTCCCCTCCACGCTGTCCCGGGTCGGCCCGGCCGTGTCTGTGTGCCGGAGGGCATGCACGCCTCACCTGGGCTCTCCTGAGCTTTGCAGCGGGCTAACTGATGGGAAACACTGTTAGCAGCGTTGCTGAGGAGGCTGTCTGAGGACAAGGAGGAAGAGAAGGAAGGTTAAAATGAAGATGTAGTGGTCGATGTAGGGCTGTGGTACATGGGAAGAGGGATGCTGTACAGGACGAACTTCCTCCCCTAAGGCAAAGGAGGTCACCGCCTGGGTTTCTGAGGGAGTCAGGTAGTGCTGTGGGCTGGCCTAGATCTCTCATGGGAATGTCCTGCCAACACAGCAGTTACTCATGCCATGGTAAGTTTGGATAACCTGCTTGATGTCTTTGTGTTGTCTTTGTGTTGAAGATACTGATGTCTTTCCTGGGGCCCAAACCTGGACATGCAAGTCTAGATGTGGTCTAAGATACCTGTATTTGGCTCATCGTACACCCCCAGACATGGTAAGAGCATTTCCCTTTTAGTCCTTTCACATGTGCGAGGCTGTTCTGGCTGCTGGGCATACCACTTTGAAATACCACTTGGTGCTGGTGGCTGTGGAGTGTGGCAACAGGTCTTGGTCCTGCTTTAAGAACAGGAGGGACTGGACAAGCATCAAAAATCCCATGTATTTGAAGACTTACCTTGTTATCTTCGATTTGTCTGAATGTGTTATGAAATAGAGGCTCCACAAAAGGGTTTCAGTGGGGTTGTTGCATTAATCCCATCCTGAAGCAGACATAGAAGGGGCACTTACAGTGCTGCAAGGATTTTGTCGGGGTAGCTAACAGTTTTCCAAAGTGAAGCATAAAAAGTGGGTATTCCTGTTGTTCAGACAGGAGACTGCATTTCTGACGGATGGCAATAAGAAGATAAAGTTTGGTTGTAGGAAACTGGTAAGTGCAGAGCCTATCTAACAAGTATTTGGAAATTGTCTTCTGTTTAAAAAAACTGGCAATCCTTTACAAAAAGGATTTACAAAAAACTCAGTTAGGTCAGAGGTGATGTTAGGCTGGTTGAGATGTTCATTATTGAAAACACTGCTCATTGTGTTTTTTCCCAAGCAGTGTTGGTCACTGACCTGAATGCTTCCCTGTAACCTCCTGCAGGGTGTGTCTGTGGCTGGTTCGGGTACAGCACAGGAAGATGCTCTAGAAAAGTTTGAACTTGATGTCCTGGAGTGGCCCTTGGTGGCTGTTTCCAGGCTGAGTAAGCCTAATTTCAGACCTGTGTCCGCACAACCAGATTTTGAGGCACTGCTAGATCCACCTTCGTTCACCTCCCTAAAAGGGCAGTCCCCAGTGTCTGCCCACTACTTTCTGCAGTTGGGCAGAGCTATGTGCTCTGGTTCACGAGGAATCTGAGTTCCAGCTCACAGTTAGCCCTGATTCAGCAGCAGGAAAAAGGCACAACTGGTCCGGGTAGAAGGAGTTTGCTGTTGCAATTCTCCTTTTTCCCCTCCCATCGTATGTTTTGTGCAACATCACATTGTCAGGTTCATCCTGTGCATGTTGTCTGAATGTTGAATGGTGCTGCAGATGTGTGAATGGGAGCAGAGGTGAAGGACCTTGCTGCCAGATACTTCAAAGAGGCACCGTCTTCCTCTTTGGCAAGCTGTAATTCTACGTCCTACTTGCCCTGTCTTCAGACCAGAGCTCTTGTCTGAATGAGGTGCAGTGTTTGTTGTGCCTGTGCCAGGTCTGCTCTGCTACATTATGGAGGTGGGCAAGGCCTATTGTGAGTTCTCTGGGGTGGTCAGAACACTGGGATTTATAAATAATGGCGTGTAGCCAAGAGTAGCCACTCTGTGTCTTGGACTGCAAATGTCTCCAGAAGTTGAGAACTCAGTTCCCACTGGTACCACAGGTTGCTAGAGAAGATGTGTCATTTGCATGTGTTTGCATGAAGATGTCCTTTGCATGTGTTTTCCATATTGCACGAGACAACATGTTTTGTTTATATATTGATGTCTATCTCCTGGATTACGATCAAATGGGTTTCATTTTCCACAAGTCTTGACTGAGGAATCTGGGCTTATGTCTCCACCCAGAAACACCCACAGTGCCTGAGCTACCCTGTATTGCCCTGTAAGGGTGAGCCCTTAGATATGATCTTTCACCTCCTGGACTAGTCTTGTAGGTGAGCAAGTGGGAGACACTGACATGGTGAACTGAGAACCTAGAGGAACTTTAAACATCTTCTTTACTGATAGCAGCAGGAATATTTATTGAGATGGATGATGTTGTCTTCTGTGTGCAGGTTGCTGCTATGCCTCCATCTTCTCAATCCTCAGTCAGCAGGTTATGAGCATAAAGACAGTTGTTCTCTTTGTAATAAGGGGGTTAACAAGTCATTGGTTAGTGTGAAGGTAAGAGAGTATCTGTATCTGTCCAACGATCAATTGATTTCTCTCTGACATACGTTTTCTGGTGTTGGATTTCTCTGCATTTAGGCCATAATAGCCAACTTGTAAGGTAGTCTTACAAGTGAAGATCTTTTGGGTCTGGCTTTCTGCTGTTGGTAATGTGAGAAGAGGAAACAGGTGAAACACTCTATCAAGATGAGAGATTATTTAATTTAAATGAAGTTCAGTAATACTTCAACAGAGAAATTATCTCCCATTTTGGGTTTTCATGGGATAACAGCTTTGTCTCAAGTGGAATAAGTGGTACTGATCTACAAGGAAACAGAAAATGAAATCTTAGTTTTAGCAAAATCACTCCTATAAAAGCTGGAATCTTCCAAAATAAGTGATCCCTGAAGTGTTCTGTCTAATATGTTTGTATTTTCACTGGTCATCCCCATGTACCTCAACTGCTTCAGAAAGACTCCAGTCACCAAAATAGCAATGTAAAAAAATTGCAAAACAATTGACAGTGGCTTGTAAACCTCTCCACCTATCCCTATACCAATATTCTACTGCTAAATAGAAGTATCTGGGATTTCTACTGCATGAATTAATTGCTTTTGTAATGCTTTAAGGGTGTTTTTTTAGTAGTTCAACGATTTTTATGTACATTTTCTCAGCTGCATCAAGGCCCCAGAGGAAATCAAGATGTCCCCATGCAGGAAAATGCTCATGGTAAATGAGATTACTAATCCGAGGCAGTAGCCTTGCCATGTCTTTTGGATCTGCAAATGTGTCGTCCCCTCCGCTCCAAACAGCAGTTGGTATAGTTATCTTCTCTATCTTGTACACCGGAGGAGCAGTCTGTAAGAAAGGGAGAAGGCTGAGTAAATGCCATTGTATCAGAAGTTACGTTAAGAGAAGGATTATGTGCAAGCATCCCTCTTTCTCTTTCCCTTCTGCACTGCCTACAGTAAAACCATAAGGATGAAGGCCACCCTCTTATTGTTCATTGCCCTAACCCCATTCCCTGACTTGCCTATCATCACAGAAGAAACCAAAGAAATACAGAAGAGTAAAATGGAGATCATCTGAGATTTGTCTACATTGTGGTAAGGGACTATTCACAAGATGTTTTTAAATTGACTCCTTTTATCAAAGGGTGGTACTTCTATTTTTCTTCTTGACTGCATTTTGGGCAGTTTCCTAACTGTTCACAGTACTGGGAATAAAACATTGCTCGTTCCAAAATTCAAACTTCAGGTATTTGAAGACCACACGTGTGGATGAAAGGTGTTTGAGAAATCTTTGAAATCTTTCTCCACCTGTAAAATAATGTGCCACCCATAAAATAACCTGCCCTGACTCACAAAGCTAACTACAAGTTGGCTGGTCTGATCAAATCTCAAAAAATAATCAGGGAAGTGTTTTCAAGAGGAGCACAACATTTCCGAGTGTTGACTAGGCAGTAACTAGAGCTCCTAGTGATCAAGTTTTGCCTGTTTCCCTTCTTTCACACAGGATACTCCATCACAGCAGTAGTCTCCACTGTGCTGTACTGAATGACTTTCAGTAAGTAGCTTCTGAAAACCAAGGTATGTGTTTCCACTTTTTTTTTTTTTCTCTCCAGTTTAGTGTTTAACTGGAAGGCAGACTTTGAGGATTTCTGGAGAGGTGAAGAGCTCTGCACTCATCCAGTCCTAGGACTTGTGCAGCTCTTAAGCCTTTGGGAATGGCAGGTAAGTTCACATGTCACTGGACACATCCCTGAGTCAATGGGGGAGGTAAAATAAGCTGTCTGCAAGGATCTGTCTATGCCATGTCTGTGAATAAACTTTACAATTATGAGTATTAGATTCTGGTGAAACATTACCCGAGACCACTCTCCCCCTCTTTCTGTACACTTTAGGGGCTAAAATATGATTTTTTCTATTCTTAGTTTTGCCAGGACCCAAGCATGATTTCTCAGAGAAATGTATTGCCTTACCTGGTTGTATTTCTTCATGTTTTCCTTAGAGCTATAGTCGTAAGCTTGAAATTGGTCTGCACGTATTAGCTGTTAATATTGTAACAAGGACAGATAAAAGGTGAGTGTTTGTTAAGAGACAGGGCAGAGTGCAGAAATTATTTTCTTGCATGTGAGTGAAATCAAGTCTTGAGCAGTAGACAGGATTCCAGGGATACTGAGGATGGATCATAGTGTGTTTTCAAAGCCTTTCCCCATGCTAACATACTCTCTTGATCCTCAGCCACCACTCTTGGTACGTTTAGTTGTTAAAATCTTGCTGCATTATCTTAGTTGGCTCTTTAGTTAGCTAAATTAGCTCTTTGTGAGGCAGCAGTGTGTCAGGGCTGTTACTTGCATGTGTTGCCTCCTCACACACCTCAACTTTTGTGTGTCAGTTTTGTCTGGTCTGCTCACAGTAGTGAGGACAATTCCAGAGGCTCTGTACTGCTTACAAGAGCTTGGCTATGGGGAGCAGGGTGTAATTAGCTTAACACTAAGCTGTTGTCTTCTTGAATGTGATTTTTCTAAATGAAAATAAAAATAATAAAAGTTGGATCTATCTTACTGATAATGTGTGTGTGTTTTTTTTTATCCATACCTTTAAGTAACTAAGGATATGATAGAAATCTGCTAGCTCGTCTCTGTTTTCTGGCTCTGAGTGCTGGTGGTTTGGACTCTAGGAATTTTAGGCAGAGGAGTGTGCAGCAGCATGCGTATATTTAAATGCTGGCTGAAGTGGCACAGTTGTGTGCACATACAGTGATGTGTTTCTGAGCCAATGCTCTCTTGCCCTGGTCTGATTTGGAGCATAGACAGAACAAGCTTAAGTCTGAAAGTGGCATGAGATTCAGCAGAAGAGGCAGTTCCCCTCTTTGCCATTGTGCCAGCAGAAGGGTTTATGCAGTTAACTGGCTCTGGGAGGTGATCCAGGCTGCAGTTAACCTTCTGGGAGACAAGCTTTAGCCTAGGTGACTTCCTTGTGATCATTCCCTGGCTGCTAAAGCTTTCATTATACTCCTGCTTCCTGCCAAGTGCCTAGACCACACTCACATTCACTTCTGCAGCTTTCAAGGCAAATGTCTTTATAAATAAGAATGAAGGCTGGATGCCATTAGAGCCCAACACGGAGAGGCATGATGTGCCCTGGGAAAATCTGAGCCTGGTACCAAAGGGGCAATTCAGGGAATGATCTGGTGAGCCATGGGAAAGAGTACTTCTCTGTGACAGGTGTTCACAGCAGCAGGTGAGAAGGTGTGATGGGCAGATTCCCAGATCCATCACTTCTGGACTTCCCTGTAGGCTGTCAGTTGCATTAAAAGCACTAGTAAGAGACTGTTTGTATGTCAGTTCACAGTTATACCTGATGCCAATGAATAATGTTCTGTACTGATGTTCCAGCTGGGTAATGTCCTATAAATATATCTATTCGATTCTGGAGAGAAAGCAAAAGCATTATAAAGGCAGAGATCCAGTGCTGTGACAGAATAAAGCTGTGAAGGCTCTAAGCAACATACTGTTGCTGTGTTGAAATCCCATTTTAATAGAATATTCTTCAAATATGTAAAAGGAAGTTGAAGAGAGACTCACAAATATGCGAGTTTACAGCAGGAATGATTACATATGATTTTATACCTCTGGGAAGAGTCTTTTCAACATTAGTCCTTAGTCACATGGAAAATATGATTTGGGGAGTGTGTATGACCTTTGTTTTTCCCAGTTTCTACAGTTCATATGATGCTTGTGCATAATCAGTAGAGGAGTATAATGAGGCTACATGTGTGAGAGCTTTTTATGGGAACACTTATTAAATAGTCCGCCCATGAGAGATAGAAAGTCCCTGGAGAACAGACATGTCTAAGATTGTAAGAAAAACAGGTGGCAGCCAGAGTAAAGGAATGCAATCTTGCTTTTGGAAGAAGTGTGAAGAAACAGCTTTGAGTTTTGACTGGAAGTGTTTTGATGTGTAACAAGTAAAAAAGAAACCATCTCTAATGTTCAGATGATCCAGATATCTTCCTGTTTAGGAAGGAAAATATATGAACTGTGCAAAAGAGAAAAAGGTCTTTCTTCATCCAGTTGTCCATTTTAAAAACCTTTGGTGCCTGTCCAACATTTCTTTGGCTTAGCTCCAGAAGAGGGGACTCCCCCAACACATTACTCTATGTCCTTGCAACTGTATATAGACAACAGGCAAAAGAACTCTTTTTCCTACAAAACTACTTTAGATTTACTTGTATTAAGCTTTTCTTGGACATGCTTACCATGTTCAGATTTTGTATCCTGCCCCCAGCTATGAGACACAAGATACTGCCACAAACTTTACCCAGAGATCCACAGAAGCATGTTAGAGGTCCTCTTGTCAGTTCATTCTGGTGAAGAACTCCATTGCAGTCAAGAAATAACTGAGGGAGGAAAAGTGCAGAAGTTTTTTGTTGTTGCAGGATTATTTAATGCAGAAAACTGTCACTCCCTCTTCCTTAATAGCCTTGCCTCTTAACTAGAGGCAAGACTGTTGAAACTGCTTGCCATCCCACTAGCATTTATAGTGTGTTCTTCCCAAGGGCATGCCACATGTTCTTCCTGCTTCATATCAGGTATGAGTCCTGGAGGTCACTATCCATCTGGTTTTAGTGTACTGTTCTCAGTGAGAAAGGTAGTTGGCTGCACTGATGACTGCAGAATACAGGAAGTCCCTTTTTGCCCTAATATTTCTTCCAGGCAGGTGCACAAACTGTACTGTGAGTATTTCTACTAAGGAAAGAGGGATCAGACAAAGGAGAAGGGTATAGAGCTGGATGCTCTATAGTCACATCATGGATGCAGCTTGAACAGAAAGAGGATGTGCTCCTGTGGTTTGACATAAAGTACAGCATGCATGATTTTCACCATTCCGAGCAAATTCTATGAAATTGACACATTCTAGTGTGAAATAGATATTTCTCTTTATGTTTTGTTTATCACTTTACAGGTAAATATTTCACAAACATAAATGAAATGCATGTCTAATAAAATTAAGATGTGAAATATCTTATTTGCAGTTTTTTGTTAGTGCTTAAGCCTAGATTTAGTAAACTATATTAGATTTGTTTCAGTCTGGTATTTGTGAGTTTCCTTCAGAAAGATTTGACTTAAATAAATAATGATGAAAGTATGCCTGTTACCTTAAAGTTGCTGCAAAAGAGATACTGCATCCAGCCTTGCTGCTTAGCTTTGTGGGAAGTCTGAAGTCTACAAGCACTGTCAGCAGTCTGATACACTGAATTCACTTCTAACTCATCACCCCTTAAAAGTTCAGGTTGAATGAGTCCAGTAGAGACAAAGCAGATAATATTATGTCTTCTAGAAAGAGAAATTACATACCCTGATCAGTGACGGGGGTAGATGTGTAAATGCTGCCATAGGACTGGTAGCATGTGTGATTGTGGTTACTGGCCCCAAAGCAAAGAATACTTTAATCTTCTGAGACTACTCAGGATAAGTAGAAAATGCTATGAAACCTGCAAGCACAGAAGGAGAGTCAAGGTAATGAAGAGATGTCCACAGACCAAATAAATAAAAAAGCAGTAGGCAGCAAAGATTAGCATTCAACTGGCTGTTCATTTCTGTCCTGCAAACCTAAGGAGAATGTTTGATTCTTGCTTGAAACTTTTATTTGGAAGACAGAGTTAATTCTAAGGATATAAGCTCATTAGAGCATGTCCAGTTATCAATTTTCACAGAACTGACGGTTTTCGTTAAGGCTATTTTTGGGGGAGAAGGCCCATTAATCAGATTTTTTTAATTCAAATTGTCTTTAAAGTTCCCTAAACTCTAATAAAATAATTAGTTTCTTGGCTTGCAGTCTCTAAAAGCCTGTATATGTTTATGCTGGCATGCAGCAATGCGATAATTATCTGAAGATCAGGAATAAAATTTTTACTTGTTACTAAGCACATACTTGTGTGAGAGTGAACGCACAAATAAGGAAAGAGTATAAGGAAGGAAGGAAGGAAGGAAAACCAAAAAGGGTTAATTCCATCCTGTTTTCTGAACATGTCTAAATTTCTCCACTGATGGATTGTGTTAGAATTTTGACCAGTTGACATAAGTATCTCAAAACAAAGAAGGTGGTGACTTGGTCTGAATTATTCTCTCTGCAAAAGGACTCTTATAATGCACATAAGTAAAGAAAGGAAAATAATTGTCTAAGAATGCGGTGATATGCTACTTCCCCCCATTTTTCTCTCTGTTTCTGAGTTTATTTTTTTAAAAGGACAATGGTACACCATGGAATAAATCCCAGTGTCTGCTCACACATCTGAAATATAAATCATAAACACTAACACTGTTTTGAACCCAGACAATCCTAATATTACCTGCAGTTGCGCCTTCAGAGTGAACAACATAATAGACATCCTTCTGTCCAGTTTTATTCATGATGAAGTACAGCTCTGCTGGAATATCATATTTTCCTATCTCATCCATGATACCTGATAATTTCACTCTGTGGAAAGCCAAAGAACAGTTTATTAAAATACATTTACAGTGTAGATATTGGTGTAGAAGGTGTTTAGAGGCTGCTTCTGTCCAGGAACATGAACCTAGCCAAGAATATGCCAGGAATATAAATATGATAACATATTGCTGGCTTTTCTCTACTACTGTGTGTTATACTGGTAGGAAGGTACACCAAAAGGGATTCCTGTAGGAAAAAAAAACCAAACACATCTCTCTCTTTCATGGGTGATCCAATATTATATGCCATGCCTTAGCCATGGAGTCCAGAGGATGCAAATGGCAGTGAGAGTAGTTGGGATGTGTTTCTGTGATGTGGTTTGTGTGCACTACTTCGCTGTGTATGACTCAAATTGTAGTAATTGCTATAGCACTGGTATTCAAGCACTACACAGACTTACAAGAGTAGAAGAATGCAGCAAAGTCTTCTTCAGACTTGCTTAGATGGTAATTGCCTGGTATTTGACCCCCTATTATGGGACAAAGCAGAACTGTACTGAGTGACTAACCTTTTGGGAGATATTTTGTCATTTTTTGTAAGGCTGATACAGGTTGTATCTTTCTAGAGAGTAAACATGCAGCAGTATCTCTGTCTGGTCCATAATGAATCCTTTCTTGCCAAAGTGTGGTTAGGCAAGCCATGTAGGGTGGATCTGCTATTACAGACTCACAGCACCACCTATTACACTTGCCACAGTGAGGAAATCTTTGGGGATTCAGAGCAAGGTGTCTTAGGGTTTTTGTTGTGAGAGTCTGCTGTTTGAAGAAGGGTTTCAAGCTGCCTTGTTATAGAAGGGTAGGTCTTTGCTTCGCTTGAGACTAGAAACCAGCCTTTGCTTCCACTCTAAAGGAATTCTCTCTGGCTCAGACTGTTTGGAGAGGAGCATCAAAGTTTCTTCCAAGCAAGTACTCACAATGCTGGAGGTACCCTTTTGAAGGGAACCTACTTTTAGCATTGTGACAGGAACTGTTAGTGTTATGGTACTGGGAGAGAAGCTTTAGAAAGAAAGGGAGAGAAGGTGACCCAACTTACAACATTCATAAAGCATTTGGGGTTGCGAGTTTTCTTGCATGAGCTTGTGTCTACACTCAGAGTACAGGGTGCTGTGATTCCTGCTGAAAAGGCAATTCCTTGGGAGCAGAGCAGAAAGAGGAGGTACCACATCTTGGGGCTGCATGGAAGAGAAAATGCAGGGGTGTTTGTCTTAAGAAGGGAGTGATGTGGAATTCCACAGGAAGACCCATATGGGGGAGTCTCTGTAAGGTTGCTCAAGGCCTGTTCCCCACCGTGTTGCCAGAGTAAGTACCTGTGTGAGGAAGGACTGTCTACAGCTCACTGTTTAATATGGGTCAGGAATGAGTCAAAAGCTCCAGGATGATATGGAACCAACCTGGGGGCATGTGTTTGTATGACATCAATGCTAGTTTGTGCTGAGTATCTTCCTTTCTCTCTCTCCACATGGTCTTCCCTATTGTAAATCTGTCTTTCGTGGACAAAAGGCTGAATTTTCATGAATTTTAAGGGGTCTGGTGATCACAGTGAAGCTTGTCTGAATAGAAATTGTAGAGTGTTCTCTATCCATTTAAACCCCTGCTTCTTGGCTGTAGCCACCTTTGTAATTAGCATGGAGGAAACAGATCATAAAACCAGTCTTTGGGAAAATCTTTAAGATTTGGAAAGTGTGGAAAGGATAGGCAAAATGTTTGTTTTCTCTGAACTTCTTCATGATGGAGGGACTTCTCAATTATTTTCATTTTTTATTAAATCTATCATATCCCTTGAGTCACTAGAACGTTTGGATTAAACTACAACTTGGATATACCCTTAATATTGACATCCAAACTCACTGTAGTCCACTTTGTAGGAGAATACTCCGATTCTTCTGTCAATAGAATAGAAATCCTTCCACCTGTGTGCTCTGGAAGCTCAGTTTTGTAGTAGATATTCCACTGCTTTCTGCAGTTTTGTTCAGTTCAAACAAAAGTAAAACACATTCCTCTATTTCTGCATGTGGATAATTGTTTAGGAACAAAACTGGAAAGTTCAGCATAGGTCACAGTTTGATTTTGTACTTAAGGTAAGGCAGTGGGGTAGCTAAATTGTTACCATTTTTAGGGTATGTTTTTCCTATATATTGTATGGTCACCTGATTTAGCTGGCATGTTCATAGAATCATAGAATTAACTGGGTTGGAAGAGACCTCCGAGATCATCAAGTCCAACCCTTGATCCAACCCCACTGTGATTACCAGATCATGGCACTCAGTGCCACATCCAGCCTCATCTTAAAAACCTCCAGGGGTGGTGAATCCACCATGTTTTAAGGCTTTATTCTGAATGTTTTCTAAGTTAGATATAATGCACAAATTAACTCTTAAGGCTTGGCACACACTGTCTCCTTAATTTCAATGGCCTAGTCTTGACTGTTGGAGCCTGGAACAGTAATCTAGTCTTTTTCTGCAATGAAACAGTGCCAAAGAGTGGCATTTACCATGGCAAACTGGAATTAACTGAAATATTAAAAAATTTAAAAAAAGTAGAAGAAGGTATCTGAAAGATACATTGAAAATGCCATTTCTGGAGACTTTTGATATTTAATGAAAACAAACCTTCTAGAAATTCATCAGAGTACTCTTGAGAGAGTCATCATGGTTTTGTTTCACATACACTGTACACAGGACAGAAAGGCACCAGGTCATTTAATGTGCTTAACAGATGCCAGAATCTCCACTTTACCATACAAGGACAAATTAAATGGATTTGGAGCTACAAGAGCAAAATGCTCAATTTATGCACATGTTTTCAATTCTGAGATTTTCATGCATCCACAATGATATCCCGAGGGGAAAAAATAACTAGAAAAAAATGAAACTATCAGTTACTCCTTTTTCCCATTTGCATGGGTCAAAGACTTCTTCCTCTCCTCCTTTAGCAAACATGCACCTTGATGCATAACATCAGGCTTGCAGCTCAGAAAGGATGCAGGCTGTCTGCTCTGACAAGCAACTGCACAAAATCAAGACAGCACATCTTTATGGAGACAGGCAACAGAGAAAGGGACCATGGGCACATATGTACAAGCAACTTACCTCTGCTTGGACTCCCTTGTTGCACCTTCTGCTGCAGTTCCTGGTCGGTCTCCACTAGCAGACTGATTCAGTGCCAGAAACCTGTGCCGATAAAAGGAGTAGCAGCAGAGTGCTGTGTGGTATCTGCACGTATAGGAGAGCATGTTAAAGTGCTACTTGTTTGGCAGTATTTAAGGAGTGGAGTTATTTTATGATAAACAGCAACATTGCACGACATTCTGAAAGACCAAATTGCACCATGGAGCTGGTGAGGTAAAGAGGCATCTAACCTGTCATTGGAATACTTAGCAGGGACTAGGTTATTCTTGTTCCCTGAGGCTGTGACAGATTTTTATCTGTACTGCCACTTGTCTCAGGAGGTGCTATGACTACTTTATTTTTGCATGAAGAGGAGGAAAAAGCCAGCCTTTCTCAACACTTTCTACCTAGGAATGTGATCTCAGCTGCTGTGTGTAGTACAGAAGCTGATGTGACCACTGGTTCCACACCTGTTGCTTGTTTTCTGAATTGCTATTTGCAGATTGCTCAGGGACAATCCTTTGTTAGGTAATCTTAGAATAAAAATACAAGTGATTTGAAAGGTGTGTATTTAGCATCACACACACATTCCTACATCTGTTGTTCAGCAGGCACCACAACACGCGAAGTCCAGTTTGCTCTGAATTAGCCTGGTTCTGTAGCGATTCGCAGGTATTGAATTAAATGAAAACATTGTGTAAATTTTGAGTCAAGAGACCCTTATTATTTCCAAGCCATTTCCATGAGCTCTGTGAAAACACAATATTTTGGAGATCCCTGCCTAATCAGTGAATTAATTGTGGTCAGCCCTGGGGAGCTTGGTCCTCACTGAAATTGGCCTGGTGTCCTAGTGAAGCAAATTCTCTGGAATGTGGGTGCTAGTAATCTGCTGTCTTGTATGGGCAAGTGACTGAAGTAAATACTTGTTAATAAACAGAACCTGAGAGTCACCACAGAACCAATTCTGCTTTATCAAGTAGAGTACAGTCTGTCAAAAAGCCAAAAAAGTGATTTCTCAATGAAAAACATTACAGTTATGCAGGTCTGATGCCACTGCTTAGTGAGACTAAGACCAAAGACTTTTCTCTGCAGTGTTCCCAGCTAACAAATAACATTACTTATTTTTTTGTTTTATAGAGTTGTCAGCCTGGAAGGATCTGTCAATTTTGCCTATTTTACCTCATCTTGGCATATGGGATGCATGATATTTTTGCTGATATTGTTGGTAGCAGTCAAGTGAAGAGCAAAAGATAGGTTAATCCACCTGAATAGGGAAAAGAGACAATGAAGTTAACGCATATAAAAAGAGCATAGGAAGCACAAAACCGAGAAGGTATACAGAAACTTCCAAGGACATGCTGTCCTTACTTAGAGAACCAGGATAGCTGAGAAAATAAGCACTCTGTTCTAAAAATGCTGTGGCAAAACCGAAGTCAAGGTGGCCTGGCCTGTAACTCAGTTCAGTTTAAAGTGTTATAAAATACAGGCTCCATTTCATGCCACAGAAGGGCTTCTTTGTGCTTGGTGGGTCTATTGAGTTAATCCTGTCCTGAAGCAGAGGTGCCAGGGACCCTTGCAGTGCTGCAAGGATGTTGTACAAGTAACTAACAGCCTTCTGAGGGAAAGTGTAAGGGGAGAGTGTTCCTCTTGTCCCAACATTGGCCACTCCAGGAGTGCATTTCTCGGGAACATGCATTTCCTAGGATTGTTCTGCACACACAGCTCCACCAGGCTGCAGATTTCTTTCCCTGGAGTAGTGTAACTCATGCCATTTGGAGCAATATGATCTCTAGTGCTTGAAAATTAAAGAAACAAATGATCTTCTGTGACTTTTATTGAATGTGTTGTTCTGAAGTTTAATTGATATCTAGCTTAAAGAATTAGTTTATGGTATTATTTCCTTGAAGAAGGCCCTTCTGACAAACTCTTAGTTCCCTTTTGGCTCATATGAAACTTTTGTAGTGTTGTTAAATTCTGTCAGGAAGTAAGAATCATGTTTCCTACACACTGAGTAGGTGACAGTCTGCCCTGAATCTTGGCACCTTTTGGAGAAAAAAGACATATTCATCAACAACAAAAAAATCAAAAATTTCAGGACTCTAATTCCAAGCATGGTAGAGAACACTAAAGCAATACGTGAAGCAGAAGTGAACCTGTGACTACACAGATTTGCCTAAGTCTCGTACCTCATCCTGGTTGGGCTGCTTATCTGTTCTCCAACTGAAGCTCTGACCAAAGAGGACCTGAGATGTGATTCTGGATTAAACAGTAATTTACACTGTCTTGGGAAAAGTGTTGCCTGAAGCTATTGCTCTGCTTTGCAGAGGATGGTTTTGTTGTTGTTGGTGGTGGTGGTGGTTTTTTTGTTGTTTTTTTAAAATAGTTACTCAGATTACTATATATTTATTTGTGTTAGGAAAGTATTAGTTAAATTACTAAATTGTTATATGTAGCATCATAGTGATTTGAAATGTCTTTCAGCAAGTTGTAGTTGAGAAATTTCAACAGCTTGGCCAGTTGATGCAGGAAGATGTTAATTCCTTAGGAGCTGGATATGAAGTACTGGTGAGGTACACCTTTGTGCCTTTGAGGTGTTACTCACTCCTCCATGTTGTGGGTCCAACAGAATTTTCATCACATGCTGAAAGATCAATCTATTGTGAGGATCCTAGTGAGTTTGTCACAGGTAGATGTCTGTTTCTGTTAATGTCAACGTAATTTTCTTCAGATAAATAGCCATTAAAACTTGTGCCAGCAAACAAACACTACAGCTGTGGTGCTGTACTAGTAATTTAATTAGAGAAGGATAGATACAGTATAAGTAATTTTATATGGTCCTCCACCTCATTGGAGAATAAATATGAAAGTTATATGGAAATAAAAATTCTCAAATATAAGGTAAAGGGCTTGGATTTAAGATGCATGCAAATGCTTTACATGCATATGTTTTAAAACTTGTTTTAAAATTTGCTTGAAATACAAGAAATATGAATTTAAAATATAAAGGGAAAAGATGTTTTGAGGTGAGTACGGACACTTGAAATACACATGCCCTACTTGGAAAGATAGAGTGTAATACAGTATCTTATCATCAGAGCCATCAACAATAACTCTCTTCTGAATTTAAATATAAAATTATCAGGTTAAACATGAATCATATTCATTGTTTGGGCTGGGCTAGGAAGAGAAGACTGAGCAAAAGGTGATGAAAGCAGACGGCCTGTGTAATTAGAGACTGTGGATAATTATACTGGGAGTTCTCATTAAAGGCGTGGGATTTAGTTGCTTCCCTTTTCGTGACAGGAATCTTGAACTGTTCTTGCAGGGCGTTTGCAATATATTTCAGTCAGAAGTAGCCTGGGTGGCACACTAGCTACCACTTGTAGTTACTTATTTTAAGTTTTAGATTTCATGCTTTTTGTTCTTTTCCCCCATCCACTTTTTCACTTGTGAAACTTTCTTCCTCTCTCTCTCCCTCCTCCTCTCCTGGACCTGTTTTGCTACTTTCCTTTTTAGGTAACTGAAGGATGTTATTGCAAAAATGACAAAGGAAAATGCTTCTGTGTTGTAACTTGTTCTGTCAGTCTTCTGAAAGCTGCTGTTCTCATGTTCACCTCCCTGGGCTGGGTTTCTGAAGACAATTGTTTTATACTAGCAAGTAGAAAGCACTGAAAGGAAATGTAGCTTAAGAAAGAGCGATACTTTTAAGTTAAATATTAACCAGATTCAAACAAGCTCAAGCGCATTTCGAGTGTGGTTGACTTGGGCGGTTGAACAAGAAGGAACTCAAGCAGTGAAGAATAGGCATGGGGATACTCTATTCAGAGGTATGTGACCATTTTTTGCACAGTAACTGAAGCTATTGAAGGTGTGGGTATTCACTGGGTTTGGTTTGTTCCCTTCGCAGCCCCCCATAAACAGGCTTGTACAGATCTGGAACATTTTTCCCTTTGGAAATGTTTTCCTTTGGCTATTGTGAGTTGTCAGAAGTATTTTTTTGTAGGAGCAAAGGAAATGCAATAACTAGTGTAACTACTGTGACTGCACAAAATATGTGTTCAACATTTTAGTATTTTCCTAGACTTTAGCATAAATACTACTGAAACATATTGTTTTATAAACTTCCCATTTGTACACAAGGGAAAAATTTAGGATTTTGGTCCTTTTGATTACGAATAGAGTGTGTTGCATGGCTGTTTCTTTTTCTGGAGATAGCATCGCATTGCTCTTCCTTTAAAAGGTTACATTTCTGTGCTGAAAGACACTCTTTTGTTTTTAAAAAGCCATTCACTGAAATCAAATATCTTCTCCTCTTTCAGTATTGCAAGGACCTTGAATCTGTGCATTCATAAGGTGATTGGTGAATAGACTGTATCTTATTCTGAAACGATTTTTTACCTCTCTCCAGATCTACTATTCTGAGATAGTATTGCACAGGAAACCAGTGTCATCTAGCTTAATTAAATGGGTGTTTAAAGAATGTTCAAATGCTGTCCATATTTTCTATGCTTATTAGTAAATATTCTCATATACATTAGTATTCTTCCTTTAAAAATTTTGAGATACAGTTTTCTGGGTAAAGTATGGTTCATTTCTACAGGACAGAAATCTAGAGAAGTAAAAATAAGACAGAGTAAGTCGCCTTTTCTGAGGAGAATGCATTGGATATTAGGGCATTTCTCAGCATCCTAAACATAATTTAGACTTTCCTGTTTAGTTCACGATGTGCCTTTGAATTAATTTTAATACACAGGAAGAGGTTATGGATTGGTTCAGAATATTTGGCATTGCAACATGTCTCCTTTTTATCTAAGTGACTGCAAATTGTTGATGTCATTTAGGCAATCCCCGGCCGTTCTCAAAGGAGGAAGCAATTATAAACCGAAATTGCTCTCATAATTGCAAGACAGGCTTTACCTTCACCTGCTCTACTGGCTGAATGCTTTGTCCTTCATACTGTGCCTTTAACCTTTATTTCATGTGTGGTAGAACTTGCTAAATAGCTTGAGGTTTATCACTAGCTCAGCAAAGCTAAGCAGAGAGAGATACAAGAAACCCTGAAAACAAGCAGAGAAATTCAGATGTGGCAGTTCATCTGAGCATGAGTAAACTACCAATCACATGTCCCACAGTAAATTTAAAAAATAAATAAATAAATAAATAAAATCAAAGAACATGCTCTGCAGTTGAATTTTTTGACAGTGAAAGTTTTATTGCTATTCTTGCACTCCTTCTTTGGTTATCTCGTATTGAGTGATTTCAGCCATGAAAACCCTTGTCTGTCCTATGAGTACTTCTCACCTTTCCTGAAGCCTTAGGTAGATACGGAACAATTAAATCCTGGTTTGTAGGGCTTGCAGAAGAAGAAAGAGAGATTTTAAGCACTCAATCATTGGCATATGTAATCATCAAACTCCACTCTCCAGTGTCTGTTCTTTGCTTTTTTCAGTTGGGCAGGCTGTTCTCTAGGTCATGGTTAGCCTTGATGCTATGCTAGGGAAAAGGCACAACTGGTCAGGGTGGAAGGAGTTTGGTGTTGTGATTTTCCGTCTTCGTCCCTTCCATCATGTTTTGTGCAGCATTGCAGTGTCAGGCTCATCTTATGTATCTTGTCTGACTGTTGAGTGGTGCTGCAGATGTGTGATTAGGAGCAGAGGTGAAGGACTTTGCTGCCAGATGCCTCAAAGAGGCACTCTCTTCCTCTTTGCCTAAGCTGGAAATCTTGATCCTACTCCCCCTCCCTTCACACCTGAGCTCCTGTTTCTATTGGGTGCAGTGTTTGTTGTGCCTGTGCCAGGTCTGCCCTGCTACGCTATGGAGGTGGGCCAGGTCTGTTGTGAGTTCTCTGGGGCGGTCAGGACATGGGGATTTATAAATAACGTGGTATAGGCAAGAGTAGCCACTCTGTGTCTTGGACTGCAAACCTCTCCAGAAGCTGAGAACTCAGTTCCCACTGATGCTTTCTTCGGAGTTTTTTGCTGTGGGAGCACTGGCCCTTGTTTCTCACACATCCCTAAAGGAGATGTCATAGACATTATATCTGTGCTCCAGTTGCCAGTGCATCTCTAACAAGGGAAGCTGCAGGGATTCCTGGCTATCCTCCACTGCCATCAGATTTCTGCTCTCGTACTCCTGCTCCACTCTGCAACTGAGCCCAAGTCTGAGGTGTGAACTTTGGATTCTTTGGATATGGCTTCCACCTTGCACATGAAGCCCAGTTATTCTGAGTATGTATTCCACAGGTTTATTTCCCCCTTGTGTATGATGGGTGGATAACGATAATGTACAAATCTGAAGCTGGTTGTTAAGCTGTACCACTGCTGAGGCAGTCTTCTAACACTCTAGATAACTGAGTGAAGTTTTGCAGTCTTTTATCCTCCAAACTTTTCTGTAGACTTAAAGGAAATATGTTTTCTTGGGTTTTGGATGGAATCTACTGCTTGTGCCTTGCATTGTTATAACTCCATAACTGGCCGCTGTGCTGATCTTCCAGCTAGGTGCTGTCTAACTGTCTGTTTGTCAGAAACTCTTTTAGTCTTGTAAGCAAAGTTTGGAGAATTGTTTAAAACAGTCTTAAGCACAGTTAGTCCTCCTTTAGATAAGACTGCCAGAGTGGCAACCCAAAAAGGCAAAAGAGTGATTTGTGGCAGAGACTTCACAACCACAGAAATCCTGTCACATGCTCAAGTTCTGGCCTGGAGTCAGTCAGGTTTTGTGTCCATTCTGCTGCTACTGAAAGCCTGTTTTGTTATTTTACTCTGCAGATTAATAGAAATCTCTTTATAGTTTTCATGCTAAATTTCTTGGCCAGCGTTACCACCTTTTTTACCTTGTTCCTTGAAATTAATTGGCTCTCCTTTAACACTTACCCTTTAATTTATTTTGGAAGACCTACAACCTTATCTCTCCCCTGCTCAGCTAAGCAAATCAATGTTTCTTCAGGCTCTTCGTATTCCTCAGTTGCAGAGATGTTTCATGATCCTGCCATAGTCTGATATCATTTTTGGACACAGGTGACAAGAACTGTACTCACTATCCCAGTTAAGTGCCTTCTATAACAACTCTCTTTCTGTGAGAGAGACTGCCTAATACAGCATTTGCCACTGGTTGCTGTTGCTGTTGCCTTTCTTAGACAGGTGACTGATTGCCACTTATTTGTAATTTATTACAAGTTTATTACAATGACACTTATTTGTGTTCCTTCCTAACACATTTTCTGAATCTCTATTGTTACTGATATCTATATAATGAACTTACAGTTGTTTGTATTGCTTTGTTCCCTTACTTAAATATTCTGCTACTATGTTTGTCCTTCCAGTCATGGAGCTGTGTTTGCCAGTTTGGGAGGTATACTACAAGTTTGATCCATTGGACTTTTCACCTTTTTTTTACTAAAAGAGGCACTTTTTAGAATATAAACTAGCAGAGTGGGCCTCAAAAAATCCCATAAAACCAGGAAAAAAGTTTGACTTTTTTTTTTCTTTAAACATAAACAGAACATATTAATGCAGGAAAGAATAATTTCTACAAAGAACCGCCACTGCAGTGGAATAACAATAAGTTAAAAAATGCTTCAAGTACATCAGTTACCAATGTATTAGCTCTAGGAATGGATGAGAATTGCTTCCTTACATTCTCTGTGCCCTGCATGTTTTCTGAGAACAGTAGGTTTCAGTAGGTAAAATAGCATGCATGAGTCATATGTGCTGGTCTCTGTGCATGACTTCAGTCCTAAATAATGTGCTCTCCTAGGGAGTGGTATGTGCTCCATCATTATTCATGGCTCTAGAACTGAGTTCAACAGTAGTGTAAGGTTTAGAAAAAGATCCCATGGGTCAGTGAGAGTATCAGTCAGAAATGCCTTGGGTTTAATGGCCTAGCAAGTAAAAGTCTTTGAGGCAGTACAGAAAGAAAGCAAAAAAGCACATCATCTGCTGACATGAGCTGCTGAACTAGCAAGTATCATTCTAGGATTTATTCTAGGAGAGAATAAAACTGTATGGTAAATGACTGCAATTTGAGGAGGTGTTCAACCAAACAGCAAATCTTCTGCATCTTTAAATAAACAAAGCAATAGCTAAAAGCAAGAATAGAGGGGAAATCAGAGGTGCAGACAGACTCCACTTATCTTCTCTTTCCTGGACCTGAAGATACAGTACTAGACACTGACAGAGCAAACTGATTGTTTAGACTGCACCTGTGTGCAGGTCACACCAAAAGGGATTTAAAGGAAGGTTTTCTCCTTAAAACCATTAAAACAGTTCTGATTCTGATGGAGTGCAAAATGGCAAATGGTATATGTAGGCTTTTATAAGAATACAGACAGATGTGCAAATTTACAATATCACATGTATTTGTTGTAGATATTTGTCTGAAATAATAAAAACAAAACAAAAAGTGGTAAAAAGTCTGGTAAACATGTAAATATGTTCTTAGGAAACAAATCACTTCTCTTATGCAGCTGTCCAGAAGCAGTAATGATGCTGGAGGTAAACTTGTGTTGTAGATCAAAGTTTGCTGAAGTGAAAGTATAAATAAGAAGAATAATTTTAATATGGGGGGAAGAGTATGGAGGCAGGGAAGTAACTGCAGGCAGAGTGAGGCAACAGCTTGGAGTTCAGGGCCAGATCTTTTTCATGTAGTGTATTTAGGATGTGAAAAAAGGAGAATGGAAAGGAAAAACTGCAGACAGTATTTAAAGAAAATTACTGTTTTGTAAAATGTTGAATAAAATGCTTAGTATCAAAGACAGAAGAAAAGAAAATTACCTCTTTTTGACTGAGAACTCAAATGCTACCAGTCTGCCCTACCTCTCACTGCTACTTTCTGCCTACATTAGGCTGTTAGAAACTTGTATTACTCTTGCCATTCTCAGCCTCTCCTTAGTCTGAATTCGTGCTGCTGGAGAGGGAAAGAATGCAGTTTAGGTCAAGGATGTGTAGAAATACCAAGCAAAAGTTGAGCAGCAAGCAGTTCTCCAAAACCAAGCAGGATCTGAGTTGTGGGCATACAAACATATATATTTTAGGTAAAAAGTTTAGCTTCAAGCTTGAAAAGAAACATTGGGGTGGGTTGTTTTCTCAGCTTTCACATGAAGTGTGGTTCTCTTATGAGATCTGATGAGTCAGGAGTGGTACCTTCTGTTCAGCAGTGCTCAGCCAACGGGAAAGCCTGTTGTAAACTCAGAGAGAACTTGGGCTTGTCTTTGCTTATTGCTCAATACAGTGACCAGGTCCTATGAGATCAGAAGCCGTTTTTTTAAGGCTGCAAATAAACCATATTTATTTTTTGGATTATAGAAATAACATCTAAAATTAACAGAAAACTCATTCCACTGTGCAAAGGCCGTGACTTCTGGGGCTGAGGGCTGAGCTGCTGTGTGGCAGCTGCAGGAGTGTCTCCTACCACCATCTTCTGGAAGTCACCAAGAACTACAACCTTTGTCAATTATTTTGGGATGTGCAAGTAGTAAGATGTGCAAGTAAGGGAAGTATGGATGTCTTAATGAAACAGACACTGATGAATATTATCTTCTCCCTTCAGCCCATTTGTCAAGCAGCTTATAACAACGATTTCAATAAAGTTCAGTTCCTTTTGGAGCGCAACTGCAACTATCTGAACATCCAGGACAGCTTCAGTGGAGACACCCCCTTAATTTGTGCATGTAAAAAGGGAAACAACAGGATAGTTAGCTATCTTCTAAGAAGACACGCTGATGTCAACATCAGAAACAAGGTAAGTGGACACTGACTCCTTTGCAACAACTGTTTTTTCAGATTCTTGGAGCGCCAGTGGGCACACTGGCAAGCACAGTCAAACCTGAAGTTTGTTTCCTACTGAGGCATAAGTATAAGCTCCCAAATTATAATTCAGTAAACCTATATGTTTCTGTTTGTCTCCTCATTTCTTTTGCTAACTTGTTAATGTACACAAGATAATAAACACTGCAAACCTGAATTTGTCTCTGTGTTCATGTTCCTCATTTAGGTAACACTGCATGCCATCCCCAGTCCCCAGTAGGTTCTGCCTGCTGACCCATGCAGCACTCCACATTCATTTTGCCCTCCACCTTGTGTCTGTCTTTTCTGTAGTCTTTTTTCCTCTGCCTTCTTCTTCACCCTGGTTCAAAGGAAGGTCTGAACAAGAGCCTGATGATCTTTCACAAATATGTCCCCGAGGAGAGACTGACTCTATAAAAACCTTCCTTATTTCCTCTGCAGACCTGCAGTTTGTCATGGTACAGAGCAGTAGCATCCTAGGGGGCAAGGAGAGAAGCCTTCTCTGTCTTCCTACTCTGTTCCCTAATTTAGGAAACCTACCTTCCTTGCTGCTGTTGTTTAACCCCAGCCAACAACTAAGTACCATGCCTAATATGATGAGAAAGTGTGTTTTTGTGATAAATTTTCTGGTAGGTTACAAATAAAAGATGAGTGTTCTGGCTTCATTAATAATTTATTATTATGATGTTAAGGGTGATAAACAGCCAGGAAAAACTCCACAGCATTGTCAGCTGTTTATATCATCTCATACAAGGCAATGTTTATCAGTGTTCCTACACATTTGTGGGTTATCTCACATATCTGGTTTCCATTGCATTTTTTCATTTCATAGAAGGGCAGCAAATGTTCATGAGGCCAGTGGAATATTCTATCCCACCTATTCTTCTTGATGCAGAAAGCTCTCCTTCTTACCTCAAAGTCCCTTTTAAAGGGTTCAGTGTTTTGCACTAAGATAATTTTAATTTCACTGGTAGCCATTTGCTAGCCATGCCTGGTGTGCCTGGTGTTCTTAAATGCCTCCCTGCTTCACCTTCACAGATGGAATAAGGCCCTTGGGCACAGAGCTTAACTATGGTGCTCAAAACTGAGAACGAGGAGCAGCAGGTATCACAGAAGGGCTTCTCTGCTTACTTTGGGCCCCTGTGTAACACCATAACCTAGTCTGTCAAATTCAGATTTGACACTCTGAAAGGAGTTTAACACTTTAGCTCAAAACTTTGTAGCCCTGCCTGTTAGTTGCTTTGGTACATTCAGTATTCAAAGTTTCTTTAAACTCTGTTCTTACTAGGAATCTGCAGTGGTTATTGCTACTTGCCTGTGTTTCTCCGATGTCCCAGAGGAGACGTCCTAAAGTCTCATATATCCTTGCTTCTGTAACCAGCACCTCTGTAAGAAGAAGAGCTGTGGGGTTTCTTCCTGCTAATTGAACTTGCTGGGTGGTGGTAGTACCCATGAGGTGTTCACTCTGTCCTTTGAGTCTCTGCAGCCACGTCCAAATGTGCAGACATACACATGGAATTCTTTGGATCCCACATCCTCCTTGCACGTGCAGTTCAATTTTCATGTCCCTATATGTGTTAAAGACACTTCAACTTGAAGGAAGCAAAATGCAAAATGTGTCTGTTTCTGCTTGAAAATCAGAGGAATATTTCCAGTAGATAGTCTAAAAGAAAGCTTGTGAAATTTAAAATGGTCTGCCCTTGTCAATATTAAACAAATAAAGTCTGATCACTGAATCTGGTATTAATCAGAGTTATTTTGTGTTTAGAAGGACCGCACTTGCCTGCATTATGCTGTGAGAAAACGGTTTACCTTCCTTGACTATGTGCTCATCATAATCCTCATGCCAGTTATGCTTATTGGATATCTTCTCATGGTGAGTCTGGATGAAAGCAGGAAAAACACTGTATCTTCCCCTTTCCCTTTATGACATTTTTCATGGCAGTATTTCAGTCTAGGAACCTGTATAGTACACAGGACTGCTTTCACAAAGCACAGACTAGATAAATAAAACAGAAGAAGCAGGGATTTTGCTGTGAATATAGCTGGTGTAGGAACAGAATTGTAGCACTGCATTGGCCTGGTATTTGCAGAAGACTCTTTTCTTTTGGGAAAAAACCCTACAGTATTTACCCCAATTTACTTAGCACTATATAGAGATGATCTGTCTTACTGTGTTACTCTTTCTCTTGCATCAAACAGGTCTCAAAGACTAAACAGAATGAAAACCTGATCAAGATGTTGCTCAGAGCTGGAGCTGATGTGAATGCTACAGACTCTGTAAGTGGATTTATAAAAATGTAAATGTGGTTTGCATGCATGCAACAATTCTAAAAACAGACTAGAATCTTCTAGCAACATAGTTCTGCTTTCAGAGTGCAATCAGGGACTGAACCGACTGTGATGTATCAGGAGCATTCAGTGTTTCCCCTTGACATTTAGGCAGCAGTTTTTCAATGTACTAGTGTACACAGAAATAATCCCGACTGATCAAATAATTCTTTCCTTTGAACAATGCCCTCACAAGAGAATCCAGGTAAGCTGGGCTGAGATACTTATGTATTAAATACCTGTTCCTATGAAGATTCTACTGACATAAGGGTCTCAGTTTATCAGCATTTATTAGTTGGACTGGAGCATATTTTGGGGCAAAGCTCATGCCACAGGGCTACACCCTGTGTCTACTCTTGGTCATCAGAGTGGGCTGATCTGCCACAGACAGAGTCCTCTATCCACCAGCCTACTTGGGTGTGGTAAAGACCTCCTCTACTCTAAGACAGAAAAGAATGCCCAATTTTATCAGCAACCAAATTCTAAAATACTGAAGTGTGAGCAAACAGTATTGTAGGGATCAATACCATGGAATCCTCTGAAATTAGTAAAGAAATATTGGCTTCCTGGTGAAGGTATCAGACTTGTTTTAGCAGCTGCATTCTGTGGAAGGAATGATAATTTTTTTTTTTTGTTCCTGTTGCTCTTATGATAATGTATTTTTTTACTGTGTAGTGTGTTGTGGTAGAAAATGATATGTGTGTTTTGCATCCAACTGTAAAGAGGAAACTGATGAGGCTGCACGTACTTGCTTAAGGTCTACTAAAGAATTCATAGAACTAAAATTCATCTGCTTCTGTCTCCTTTCAGTCTGGTAGCACAGCCCTTCACTATGCTTGTGAAATGAAAAACCAGGAAATTATTCCTCTACTGCTTGAAGCTCACGCAGAAACTTCTGTAAAGAATCAGGTAAGAAGGTGAAATTGGTAACTGTATCTCCTTATCGTGAGGGTGAACGAGTATGTTGTCTTAGCTGGTGTGTGCAGCAGTTTAAAGAAAAGGTTCCTGCTCAGCTTCCTGGCAGTGGAATTGTTTCCTGTTTGGTATAAAACATTTGCTCCATTGCCTTTGTTGGCAAGAGGAACTTTAAAGTACAAATCCTTCACTGCTGGATTTCTACCAGTAAACACTGCCCCTATGTCCCCTGGTTTGGCACATCTCTTAGCTGTCTTTGTGGTACCTCTTTCTTGACTCAGAGCTGCTCTACAGTTCTGTTCCTAAGAAGCAGGCTACGGGGGAGTGATAAGAGCCTTCTTAGGTGCTTTTCATGCTGTTGTACACCATTATTCTGAGAGAGGCTAAGTCAAGCTGCTCCTGTCACCAGAATAGCTCAAATGTTGCCCAAATCAATATTGACCTGGGAGTATCTGCATTACTGAGTTGAGGTGAGCAATGTATTACCCATGTTGCTCTTGAATCCAAATCTTAGCTGTGCTCTGCACTTTTGGATATGAGTCCCAGGAAACAGTGGAATGGCTGGTTGTCTTTAAAGTAGTATTAGACCCAGCAAGTTTTGAAACCTTTGTTTTAGAGCATGGAGGTGACAGGGGAACTTACACAGGAGAGCACTGCATCTGGGTGACAAATTCAGGAAAGCTCCTTGTACTTGACCGATATCTATCATATTGTAATGTATTTCATCTGTTTCTTTCAGGATGGGGAGACTCCCTTAGATATAGCAAGAAGATTGCAGTTCCACAACATTGAAAGCATGCTAAGAAAAGCTTCCTAGTCGTCAAGGACTCTCACAGATGCAGAAAATTACCTCATCTGACATAGCAGCAAATGTCCAACAGAGGGTGAAGGCTGTTACTTGATAAAGACTTGGTCCACATTCACCCATTCCTTGCTGTAGACTTTGACAACTTTGTGTGAGACTTGTCAATACCCCCCATGTGTGGGGTGAAAGGAGGTGATTTTACTGAGCCATGAATGATTACAACAGTGGTCAAAATATTACCATTCCCATCTCCTTCATCAGTTTTATTACTTCTGCAGTCTGTGGATTTTGAAAGCTATCTACAAAATATCTGGAAGCCTAAACATTGCATATGATGGTTGGCAGCCAATGAAAAAATAAAATATCCTTTAGAGTGCACATTACTTCTTCTTTAGGGGAAATAAACAATATGCTACAGCAGTTATATAAAGTCTGGTACCCTTCCTCTTAGTATTTCTCTTCCCACAATGGGAGTGACTGGGACAATGGGTCTCTCAGTTGAGCACTTTTACCTTCCATCCTTCCTACAAGTTTCACACACCTTAATTCTCACTATGTTGCTACAAGGGTAGGAGTATCTTCTTTCTCTCTCTTTTTTTTTTTTTTCATATAAGACACAGCATTAAGAATGCATTAAGAAATATGATGAAATGAAAGTATGTTTGGCACAGTAGAGAAACAGGTCTCTTGACTACCTTTCCAATATAAACAGTGTACTAAAGAAAAGAAAACCAATAAATGAAATGCTGTTGATGAGAACCAGATGTATCCTTCCCATGGGACTGGACAGGATAGCATGCTTTTCAGAGTGGTGCATGCAGCAGGGGATAATACCAATAATAATAATAATAATATATTAATGAATCTTCTCTTGCATAGGTGAAAGCAGAAAAAACCTGCATTTAATACATAAGCAATGTATTAAAGTGTCCTGCTGCTTTGTGATTTAATAATGCAGCAATAAAAGGGAGTCTCCTTTGAATGCTGCTGTACCTTGCCTTCTTGGTCTAATAGATCTTTATTTTTGTTGACAATTTCAGCCTTTTCCTGTAAGCTGTCAGAAGTGCAGTAGATAGATGCCATGATTAGCATTGCTAATGGTGCTACACTAGGTGCATGGACAAGCAAATGTATTTTTCCTGTGTTGAAGAAGACAGATATTTTTCAGTGTAACTGTTCTATTGGATGCCAACTCCAACTGCAAAGGGTCTTGGTTGGGCAATATGAGTTTGAGGCTGCAGCCAGAAACACCCTACAAAACCAAGCTCCTTGTTTGAGCCTGTAATAATGAACACTTTATGTGTAATCTAGGGACAGACACTCTTACCTGCCAGATCAGCTTGTATGTGAGTGTATGTGAGGCACTTCCACAGATAATGAAGATGCCATCTCTTAAGGCTAATGGCTGGAAAGGAAAAACAACTGACTGCTTTCCCATGTTCTAGAACCTGCTTGAAGGAAGAATGGACAAGACACAGAGCTGTCTAAAAGTTGAAGCTGTGCCAATTAATTCATGGGTTGGAACCTGTATTGCACGGAGTGCACCTTGCCAGATGGGTCTGCATTTCCCTATTCCTCAGCTGCCATCCATGGTCTTCAAAACTGAGGGGTTTAGAGTGTGTGAGCAAAAATTTGTGTGCTTTGTAGGCATGGAGGGCAGAGGAATACTTCTATGCCTTTTTCTTAGGCTGAATCCCTTGATATTTGGTAGACATCTATTGTCTGCTCAGTTTCTTGTCTTTGAAGATCTCTTGGTTGTGTTGATACTGAAAGCTACTGTGAGGAGGGAAAATAATAATAATAATAATAATAAAAAAGCCAAGTTCTCTGTCAAGGGTGTAAATAATTTAATGTAAACAAAGGTGCTCATTTCAACAGAGAAATGATCAAATCACACTTTTGGGTCTCCATAGGAAGACACAAATTGGGCATGGAAATGCCTCAATGTGGTACATAAGATATACATGAGAAAAACAGAATTTAAGCTTAGGCAAATCAGTCTCATAGAAATAAAAGCTGTTCAAATTAAGTAAATGCTCAAATATATTCCCATTTTCAGCTTTCATTCATATTTTTTTAGTAGTTCAATGATTTTCATATACATTTTCTCAGTTGCATCAAGGCCCCAGATGAAATCAAGGTGTCCCCATGTAGGAAAATGCTCATGATAAATGAGATTACTAATCTGAGAAAGTAACCTTGCCATGTCTTTTGGATCTGCAAAGGTGTCGTCCCCTCCGCTCCAAACAGCAATTGGTATAGTTATCTTCTCTATGTTGTACACAGGAGGAGCAGTCTGTAAGAAAGGGAGAAGGCTGAGTAAACGCTGTTGTATCAGCAGTTACAGTTAGAGAAAGGATTCTGTGCAAGCATCTCTCTTTCTCTTTGCCTGTATTCCCTGTATTCAGAGAAGATTTATAAGTTTTGTTGGGGCATGGAGTGCAATTGTTTATTTTAGTTTTCATGCTTGGAACTTAAATGACAAGGAAATAATTTGGCCATTTATAATTTCGATCTAGAAAATTTCTGAGACAGTATGTGAGAGAGAAGTGGACTGATTATATCTCTGGAGTCTTTCTGTCTGTGGAAAGCAGACAGCACAGGACACTGCAAGTCTAATGTGCTGGTTAAAAGTGAAATGATTGTCAGTCCATTGGGGAGATCACTATATGAGATTCATTTCCTCACTTAATTGAAAGGTAGACCCTGAAGATTTTGGGGGAAATGAAGAGCACTGTACCCATCCAGTCCCAGAACTTGAGTGTGGCTCTTTGCCTTTTGAGAATGACATTTAAGTTGGTATGTCATTGGATACATCCCTGCATCAGTAGGGGAGGCAAAATGAACTTCTCTTAGCTGTCTGCAAGGATCTGTCCATGCCATGTCTGTGAATAGACTTTTATACTTATGTGAGTGATTCAGTTGAAACATTACCTGAGACCCCTCTCTCCCTTGGTAGCATTCACATGTGCTAAAATTTGAATTTTTCTATTCTTAGTTTTACCAGGACCCAAGAATGAGTTCTCAAGGAAACCATATTGCCTTACCTGGTTGTATTTCTTCATGTTTTCCTTAGAGCCATAGTTGTAAGCTTGAAATTGGTCTGTATGTGCTAACTGTTAAAAGAACAGACAAAAATAAAGTGACAGGAGACCAAGAAGCAGAGTGCAGGGGGCATTTTCCTGCCTATCATTTAAGTCAAGGCTCAGGTAGTGGACTGTGAATTACTTCCTCATGTTTCTCTGGTTGCAGGCTTCCTGGATATTGAGGATAGATGATAGGATAAATGGCTTAATTGCCTTTTCTCTTGCTAATTTTTTATCATGATCCTTATCTTCTACCCTTGTTATGTTTTGTTGCTAAAATTTTGCTTTACTACCTTGGGTAACTAAGGTTGGGGTCTCTGTAATACAGAGTTGGGATAAGTTGTTCTATGGAAAGAGAACCTGAACGTCTATAATGTGTCAGGGCTATCACTAGTCTAATGTAATACCTTGCAGGACTGATAGGTGAAGAGTTAAGTACATATACATGGAATTGTTTGTTTGTTTTGGTGATTTTATTTTTACACTAACATGACAAGTAATTTCATTTGTGAGTGGTTGTATGTAATAAAGGCTGAAAGAAAGCCAGGATCTGTCAATTTAGAAAACTTTTGCCTCAAGGATTTAAGTAGCTGAGTGTGTGCTAGAAATCTGCTTGCAGTATTGTCTTTGCTATTTTATTTTGCTGTATCTGTGTTTGCTTTTATCCACCTGACTTTGTTAGAGGCTGGCAAAATAGACTGTAAAGTCACTAGCTGTCAGTGGTCAGCTATCCATTTCCTGGATAGCTGTATCCTGTGGGACTGACTGCTGGGAGTCATTGTCAAGCCTCTCTTCAAGAGCAAATCTACATTCTAGACTACATTAGTGTGCAGGTGCTCATGGCAGTAGGTGAGAAAGTGTGATGGTCAGTTTCCCAGATCCATAATCTCTGGATTTCCTCGTAGGCTGTTGGTTGCATAAAAAAACCCGCAGTGAGACAGTTTATACATATGTGCACAGTTATACCTGTTGCCAGTGAATAATATTCTGTACTGATGTTCCAGCTGGGGAATGTCCTACGTATGTGTCTATTCGACTCTGAGGAGAAAGCAGAAATTTCATGAAGACAAAGACCCAGTGCTGTGACAGAATAAAAATGCAAAGAAACTGAGCAACAAACATACTGCTGCTGTATTAACCCCCCCATATTAATGGGATATTCTTCAAATATCAGACTTCAAATATCAGAAAACTGAGAAGCAGACTTTAAGAGTATGTATCTGCATGCCCTCTTCAGGAAAGCAGTACATTCCACAAACACAGTACTGCTGTGGGATCCTGTGCTCAGCAAAATTAGGGAAAAACCTTCCAATTCTTTCAAAGTAGACTTCCTATCTCACACCAGAGCCCCATGCATGTGTGCAAGTCTTATGAAGATTTGCTTTTCTCTTCACTTTACTCCTAGTCTTAAAGAAGCCAACTGACAAAACTGATAAGTTTTATTTCTGCTTGTATTTTTTTGTAGTTCCGTTAGGGAGATGTTCCAGCTCTAACTCCCCAGATTCTTCCTCAGCCATGTTATCTTGCCCTGAGGACCGCATGAGTGACTTAACACAACTCAGGAAATATCCTTAATGGTTTAGCTCTGCAATTCAAAAGGGCTGCAATGACTTTAATTTCTTTTGCATTGAACTTTTGATTCTAACTGCTTTCTCATATGTGCTTTTAAAAGTGGTTATAGATGGAAAAAATTGGGCCCCAGTCATTACAGATATTGCAGTAATAAACATTATACAGGCCAGCTTCTGCACTTTGGCCACTGTAAAGGGCATTGACATCACAGTGTCCATATGTTGGCAAGCACACAGAAGACTCTTCTGTCTCTCTTGTCCCCTCTGACTGATGGATTAGTGTTTGTGAATCCCACTGTAGGTGTGCTGCACTCCTCAGCACAGAGTAAGGACTCTGTGTAGCTCTGCACCTTGTAAATTGAGCTGTTGGGTCCAGTTCTAAGGTCAACAAAATGGGAAAATGCCCCTTACAGTTGTTCTTTGGGACCAAGTTTTGGTGCAAGTAGTCTTAGAAGTGGGAGTTAAAAAGTGGCTTTTTCCTGACTTTTAGCTATTCCAGTGTTCAGAGGACCCCAGTGTCCACATGTCAAGGGAAGAAACTGGCAACTGTATTGCCAAGAAGAAATCTGACTCCATCGTTCATTGTCTCTTGTTAAAGAACATCTGTGTGTGACCAAGTTCTGGTTGGCTTAACCCCCAGAGAGGGTACATCTATTGACATATATAATATAGCTTCAGTCACAATTCAGTGCTTTCTTTCTGGAATTGGAATGGGCCTAGTTGTTGGTCCCATCCATCACTACCTCTAGTCATGCTGCTGCTGTTGACGGCACACAATGTCCTGGCATTCCCTCCATCTGCTGAGAACTATGTTGTGGTTTATGTATGTTTATATGCATGACAGTAACTGGATAAGGATAGAGTGTACACGTGTAACTTCCAAAATCACTTTAGTTTGAGTAGGCGTTCTTGTGTATACTTACCGTGTTCAGATTTTTTATGCTTCCTCCAGCTATGTAACAGAGAACGTGGGCACAAAACTTATCCAGGCTTGTACATAACTGTGTCACGGGTCCTTTCAGAAATCCAATCTGGTGAAAGGCTCCTTTGCAGCCTAATACTAACTGAAGGAAAGGAAAAGTGCAACAGGTTTTTTTTCTTCTTACAGAAGCATTTTATGCAGGAAATTGTAGGTAATAGCCTAGCCTCCTAGAGCAGTATTCAAAGAGTGCTGAAAGAGCTTACCCTTATGGTACTCCTTAAAACACTCTCTTCCCCATAGTGCATCATTTATTCTTTCTTTTTCTTATTTCATATTTCGATCCTGGAAGAAGCCATCCTTCTATTCCTAGTGTAGTGACCTCAATGCCTAATAATTTTTGAAGACCCAGGGACTGCCATGGCTGTTATTGCAGTTCTGGTTAATTCCTCCTGCATGAGGCCAGCAAAATATTAGTTAAACTGCAAGAGTTCTACAACAAGACAGTTTCACCAGTCTCCTCCTACTTCACAAGGACCTGTTGCTGAAAGCTCTATATCCTGACTGTTTTCCCTATGGAGTTTGGGAACAGATTTTTCAAGAGCACTCAATTCATTCCAAGCTCAGTGTCAGCAGGTCACTTTTTTGGGAACACTTCATCTCAGGCTGAGTGAACCTCATGAAAGTTAGCCAGGCACTGGGCCTCTTAGAAGGAAAAATGACATACCCTGAGCAGTGGTTCAGGAAGATTTGTTATCTTAACCAGAATGCTTGTAGCATGTGGGCATGTAGTTATTGCACCCAGAGCAAAGAATACTTTCACCCGTTGAGCCAGCTCAGGGTATGTAGAAAATGCTATGAAGCCTGCAAACAGAGAAGAGACAGACTGAGTTCAGACTGAGTTAGTGAAGATATCTTCCACAGATAAATTAAATACATAAACAGTAGGTACTGGAAACAGTTTTGCTGTCTGTCATTCACGTTTGTCTGTGCTGCATGTTTTGCTTAAGGCAAGTGTTGAAGATAAGTCCTGAAACTAATCTTATTTAGGAGGCAAAGTTCATCTGAGGTTTAGAGCATGTCTGGGCATTGCCTTCATCAGAGCAGTTTTTGTAGCAACATGTCAATGAGGTTTTCATGATAACGTTAATTCCCTCTAAAATTCAAAAAACACTCATAAAAAATGAGTTTTTCAGATTATAGTCTCTAAAGGTCTATGCATGTTTATGCTTTCATGAAATTGTAGAAGAATCAGCTGAATACTGGGAGCTTTGAGTGTCTTCAACTGATTGTTTGCATCACCAGCAGTTGAAGAAAGCCTAGACAGTTAGCTTGTTTTACCATGAGGGTCTTTAAATACTCTTATGAGAGGCAAAGAAAGTAAAGGTCTGGAGCTGTGACAATATATGATTTTCCCACATTTCCTTCTGGTTTTTTTCTGGGTTGTTTACACTAATGAACTGGCAGTTGCTCATTTCTAATAAATATCTGTTCATGGATCTTACATATAAACCATAAATATCAAGTGCTTTCAGATGATTTTAGAAGAAAGTTAGGTGTATTCAGAGGCCATGAAATAAATTAATGCTAAGGGCTGGGCCTAAGAGAAAAGAAGCTTTTAATGTTTTTTACTTCTTAATTTTCAGTCTCTGGCACTATGCTTTTAAACAGTAATGTGGCCAGTTATAGCCACTCATGAACTGCACTTTAAATTGTAGGATTGACATTAAGTCACATGACTTAATGTGATGTTGAGGTTATTTTTCCTTGTTTTCTGTTAATTTAAATTATGTATTGTATGTGCTGGTTTATCTTTTCAGTTTTTCCATCCTGTTCACAAGGAACACTGTCACAAAGGAAGTGGTCACAGCACCAATCCTGACAGAGTTCGAGAAGAATTTGGACAATGCTCTCAGGACATGGTGTGATTCTTGGGGCTGGCCTGTGCCAGGCCACAAGCTGGGCTTTGATGACCTTTGTGGGTCCCTTCCAACTCAGGATAATCTATGATTCTATGATTCTATGATTCTATGATTCTAGTTGTATTAATACAAAAGAAGAACTTAATGAGAATTCCTATCGCTGAGAAAAATAGCCAATTAATGCACCTGAAGTACCCAGTAAGTGTTCCCTCCTATGCCTCTAATTATTTAAAAAGTTAAATTATATTTGCATCTGCTATTAGATTTATTTGCTTATTAATAGTAACCAAAATTGGTTTTAGAAAAGTTTTGCATATTTTCCAAATCTCAAGCCAGAAAACCCTCTATGTTTTTCTAGCTGTCTACAAACAAGAAAAACAACAGAATCAGTTGGGAGACCCACTTACCGATCAGATAGGAACATAAATCATTGTGAATAAGTGTCCTTTACATTACCTGCAGTTGTGCCTTCAGAGTGACCAATGTAATAGACATCCTTCTGTCCAGTTTTATTCATGATGAAGTACAGCTCTGCTGGAATATCATATTTACCCATTTCATCGAAGCTAAAGGGAGAAAAACAAAAAGCTTGCAGATAATTCAGCCATCACAATGTGAGTAACTGAATGTCAGTTTTGTTCATTGCACCAAGCTGGACCCATTGAAGGATGAGGTTGCAGGCTGTGTCTGCTTGATTTGGGGAAGTGGGCAGAGGGATGCAGCTGTACAGCCAGGCTGCCTGATGCCTTGGTCTCTCTGTGGAGGAAGTGCCAGTTTTGCCTGACAGCTGCAGCCCTTTGGGGAACTGAATTTAATCAATGCTTTCACCAGCAGAGATTACAAAACACATTTCTTTCTTGGTTGAATTCAACTGTGAGAGATTAGAGATCTCTAGACAGGGCTGCTCAGCCTGTTCTAGCTCAGTTTCTTGCTCTTTCTCTCACATTACTCCTTTTTCCTCAGCATGCCATTTCATTTCCCAGTGTCTGAAATCTTTTCCCCAGCCAATTCTCTCAACTCTGAGTATCAGTGAGCATCCTTCTTCACCTGGTTCTTTACTCTCCTTGGTTGGTGGAGATCCTGTTCTGATGCTGTTTTAGGTAAAAGCCATAAGGCTGAAGCTATCTAGTCCCCTTGGGGTTTCTATGTTGAGTAATTCTCTCTCTGCAGAGTACCTGAACTTCCAGAATTCTTTCTGGCTGGGATTAAGAGTCCTGTGTTTTAAGGACCAAGTGTTCCCTCGGCTGTTTCCCATCCAGACATCATAGCCAGCATCTGCGAGGATGAAGCCCAAGCTGTTGTTGTTCAGGTTAGAAATCCAGTGAGTAGCATCTCCTAGAAAAGCATGCTGTAGGAAGACTACAGGCCTTTGCCCTGAAAAATATTAAAATATTCTTATATTGGAACAGTAATTAACATTGAAGTGCAGATTTCTGCTTTTCAGATGTTTCCTTCTTCCAGAAGCTGCAGGAAAACTGTATTTAGATACTGTTCTGAGAAACCTGGAGTTTTGTTCCATGCAAGCAGGAACCTTTTAATGACATTTCACAGCCATTTTATGACAGGTCTGGCAAATAAAGAATTTACTGAGGAGGCCTGTCCCCACCTCCTCTAGCACTGGAAAGCCAGCTTACAGCCCTTATGCTGAAACCATCTACCCAAAGCTGAAAACTGCTGAAGGCATAATAGTGTATGGAAGACAAACAAAAATTAATCCAAAGAAGCATATCCACCCTTAGTTAACCAACTGAGCAGGGCTGAGAGGCCTTGGTTAGCCTTACTTTGAGAGTCAGGCTGGTCCAAATGGTCTCCAAAGGAGGAGATCCAGTTAGGAGAAGGCATCTGAAATAAATAATTCTATCATTCTAACAAGGAGGACTGAACAAAGTAGTGGTACCCAGGGTACTTCAAATTTCAGCTAGAAATTTTTATTCCATTTAGAAAATGTGATGAAACTGATGCATTTGCTTTTCACTGATGACCTGATTTCTTACCTCCTTCCTTAAGAATATCTCTGGACTTCGAAGCCCAGAAATGAATATTCATATGCCTACCCTCAGAGGCTTTGTTATCAGGCTTCTATTTTATATGTTTATTATTTAGGGTGTTAATGCAAAACCTCCTCAAACCCAGTTTTACCAATCCATCCCCACAGCTCATTTGAGCAAAAAAACCCCCCAAACTAGGATACAACAAAAGTTGTATCTGAAATAAGGACAGAGACAGTGAATGTGCAGACTTCAGATGGATTCAGTGTTCAAACCATGTTTCTGACTAGGTGCTGTTGTGGATGGAAGGGTGTGGTACATGCCATTGCATGTGCCAAGGGGAGGGGACCCAAGTAAGAGTTGGCTTTCAGACCTTCTTTATGTCCTATAACTCTGCCGCACCTGTAATTCCGCTGTTCCTCCCAGCAGGAATTCTGAAAACAGCAAGAATGTATCCATCCTCTGTTGTAACTTCATATTCCTCACTGGGGTACCCATGATATCTGATAATTTCACTCTGTGGAATGCCAAAGGAGAGTTTGTTAACATGCAAGTTGTCCTGTTCTGGAGGGTAACCAAAATGAACAGTATGGATGTGAGATGTACTGTGATGTAGAGCAAGACCCCTGGCCACAAGGACCGTGGCTGATAATAAATATTACAGGTCTTGTAAAAAGATGCAGCACAGTCCTCTCCAGACCTGCTTAGATGGTAGCTGTTTGGTTTTTGGCTCCCTGTTATGGGACAAAGCAGAACTGTACTGAGTGACTAACCTTTTGGGAGATAATTTGTCATGTTTTGCAAGGCTGATACAGATTGTACCTTTCTACAGATTAAATATACAGCCCTATCTGCATAAGACAATGCCAAAAGCTGTGGGGAGGGTCCATAATGAATCCTTTCTTGCCAAATTGTGGTTAGGCAAGCCATGCAGGCAAGGCAAACAAGGTTGGAGACCTTGTCAAAGGAACTCATAAGACCACCTACACCTCATTTTGCATGTACTCTAAGGAAATCTTTGGTGATTCAGGGCAAGCCATCCTGGATTAGTTTGTGTTGTGAGAATCTGCTGTTTGAAGAAGGGGTTCAACTTCTCCTACCTCTGAGCAAACAGGTTGTTATGGAAGGGCAGGCCTTTGCTTCACTTGAGATTAGAAACCAGCCTTTGCCTCCACTGCAAAGGAGTTCTTCTCTGTGGCAGCCCAGACTGTTCAGATAGGAGAATCAAGGTGTCTTCCAGGCTGTTGCTGGAGGGCTCTTTGTCCTCTTGCCAGGTTTGCACTCCTCCCTTTGTGCGGTAGCCCAAAATACCAACATGTGTTGAAAAAGCTGGCTGCAAACATTTGTCATGAGGCATGACACAGCTTCGTGTTTATCATACATCTGTTGGGGTTCACCCTAAACACATGCAGCAAAAGTCTGTTGTTGAGTTTGATAAGGACTGGAGCATTTAATCTGTGTTCTAGCCACAGTCCAGGTCTGAGTCTGGTTACTGGGATCAAAATTCAGTAGCCTAGATGCCCAGTGCTCCTCAGGATGTTCTGGGGAGTTGCCTAGCCTTGAAGCCAAAAGTAGCAGCCAGCATTCTCTATTGCAGTGTTATGTGTCTGCCCTCATGCAATAGTCCCTGGCATATTCAGAGCCAGCCCTCATTTTGAGGGTGACTCTAAGGCAGTGGTTTTGCAAACAGCAGATTGGGAAAATGGGAAATGTAGAAGAGGCCCCTCTTAGCTTCCTGACAAGGACTGTTAGTTACACAACAGTGGTAATAGTACTGGTGGAAAAGCTTTAGAAAGAAAGGGAGAGAAGGTAAACCAACTTACAACGTTCATGAAGCATTCGGGGTTGCGAGTCTTCTTGCACGGGCTTGTGTCTACACTCATGGTGGAGGGTGCTGTGAATCCTGCTGAAGAGGCAATTCCTTGGAAGCAGAGCAACAGGAGGAGGTACCACATCTCAGGGCTGTGTGAAAGAGCACATGCAGGGGTGTGTCTGTTAGGAAGGGAGTGGTGTGGAATTTCACAGGAAGACCCAATTGAGGACTCTCCTGAAGGTTGCTCAAGGTCTGTTTCCAAAGGGCAGAATAAGTATCTGTGTGAGAAGGGGCTGTCTACTGTTCACCCTACTGTTCAACAGGTAGGGTTGCAGAACAGGAGAATAAAACACTTTGGAATACCATGCAAGAATAAGCCTGAGCACTCTGTAGATTCTTAGAGAACTGTGATCGATAGGAAAGGCCAGCTCTTGGTATGAGCCTAGGAGAAGCTTGACAAAGAAGCATGAGTACCTCAGATGACTATCACCCAGCTTGCCTGCTGTTATCTGTCTCCACTCTTCTGCCAGCAGAAAAGGTGAAGAAGTATTGGAGAAGAAAATGGAGAAGAAAGTATTGTTTGTTTCCTGTCTCATCAGGAATGAGGTGAGAGAGGGTCAGGATGGGCTCTCTTTAAACCTGCCCTCTCCTCTTCTGTGATCAAATGTCATTCCTAGGGCTGTCAGTGGTGTGTTGAGGTGAGGGATCAGATAATGAAGCTCATGAAGGGGCCAGAAGTGATTCAAAGCCTCTGTGAGGAGAGGTACTTGGCTTAGGGGAACATACTTGCACTGATGAAAGCTTGTGCTTTCATCACAGGATGATGTGCCCGAAACCAGGTTCAACTTCTCTTTGAAATTAATTCCTCTGAGACTATGAAGCAAAAAAAGGTGGCCATGCATGGTTCCCCGAAATCTCCATGAGTCAGCTCCCAGTCAGCGTTACCTCTTGGCCACCAGCCAAGCAGCCATTACCAGTGAGCAGTGGATCGTAAGACTTACTTTATGTCGCCAAGGGCCTGTCGCCTTTCTGTGTTAGAAATGGCTGCCCACGGTGCAAATCTTGTCTTGGTAATGGGGAGGTGACATCTTGCCCTTTCCTGGGTTGACTGATGGTGCCAGATTAGCTTTTCTGAATAGAAATTGCAGAGTGCAGTTGATCTAGCAACAGTTTATGTCAACTCCACCCACAGTATGAGTAGGCAATATTGCTTCCAGGCTTTAGTCTTTATTTTCCAGAACCCAGGTCAGTGAGAGCAGAACACTGCTATCTGTGACCTTCCCAGACCTTTTTTCAACACAAAATTTTGATTTAAATACACTTTAGGAAAGGAAAAAACAGATTCTGTGATCCAGAAAGTTACTGAGTATGTGATTATGGGCTAAAATTGTTTGGAGAGCAACAGAAGTGCTCACAAGTTGAGTGCTCCTTGACTACAAGAGAGCTGCAGAGGATGGGATTTTTCTTTCTAAAGAACTGTAAAAAAAAGATTATTGCATGAAGCTTAGTATTGTGCTCACACATTCTGCAGAAGCTCTTATACATCTAATTTTTGTTGTATGCTGTGCTTGAATGTGGGAGGAGAGAATGAGGGCTGTGAAGGTAAAAGTAGCAGCCATTCTGCTTGTGTATAAAGACCATAAAGATCAGGCAGGAGACCCAAATGTTTAACAATAGAATCCACGGGACAAAAGGTACACATAATGCAGTGTAAGGCTTCAGCTTATCAAGGTGTCTTGTCAGATTGCCTCACCAGTAATGACTGGGGACATTACTGCTCTTGTGAGCTTGGTTTCCTCAGAAGAGGAGGGCATGCTTCTATGGCCACAGTGTGTTTGTGTTAGTTCACCTTTCTGTCCATCCCATAATTAACTTTTGATGTACTTGTCAAATATCTGCCAAGTTCAGCACTGAGATACAAACCTGTAAGGTAATGGGGTTCACGGGAGCTCCTGAGGACTGTTTGTCAGGGCAGGACTATTCAGCAGGGTTTAGCCTTGCTTGAGAAGAAGCAGACTGAAGGCAGCTCTTGTATGTCCAACAATTAGCAAGAGTGAGCTAGTTAACTTTTCAGTGTCCATGTAGCTTCAAAGTAGCCACAGCATGCATGGTTTGTAGGTGAATTTTGTAGATGTGTCTGTTTTACAGTTTTCATTAGAAAGTTAAGCAGACCCAGGAGACAAGTCTTTCTTAAACCAGGCATTAGACATGGAGAATGTAATTTTCAATGAAGAAGAGAGGTTCTCATGCAGCCACATATTTCTTGAGTCTGCTTCTAGCATAAGTCATCTGCTATGATGAGATATGGTGCTCTATGAAGTTTATTTGTACTTGGAAATGTTCAATACCAAGATCAAGAGAAAATAAGAAAGTATTCCCTGTCAAGTAATGGGGAATATGAACAGGATTTTTGGGAATGAGAGAGGGGTAACCAAGAGACTTTTTAACTCTCTAAATGTCCTTATAGGAAAATATGTCTTGACTTTTTGTGATATTCAGGTTAACATTTAAAATTGACTGAACAAATTTAAAGAAGTTAAATCTCATGAGTCATCAAACAACTGAAATGAGGCAGCATTTGGAAACACCCAAAACTTTAAACTTGGCGTCAAAACACATTCATTTGATTCCCTTTGTATATCAAATACTTCTTAATTTCTGTTGTCAAAACAGAAAGCCTCACAACCACATACTCAGGCAGTGTAACACTCTGTTTTGCTTCCTGCTGTTTTATATTCTGTTCTAGTGGGAGTAAAACATACCTCTCTTTCCCTGCACAGGGAATCTCATTTGGGAAGAAAAAGTTCTGCTCAGCTTGTTTCCAAATCACTACCAAGATTAGTTGTAGCAATGCAGAGACTAAATAGTTCCTCTTGTTAGGGCAAACTTTCCTCAATGCACTCTGTCATGACCTGGCTTAGCTGGCATGGCTCACGGGCTTCCAGGTATTCACCTTTTAAATGAGATACACCAGGCTGAGTACTATCAGTCTTGGCAGGCCACTGCTCCCTTAAGCTTTAGGAATAAAGACAGGAGATGCGAACAGCTGTTTTCACCTGTGAGGTGAAATCACCAAGTAACTACTGGGTATGGTAAACTGTCATAAAAGAACGTGCTTAGATGAAAAATTGATCAGAGAAAGAAATGCCCTTGAAAGATCTTTAGGTACTTTTAAGATTTATTGAAACTAAGATGCAAGCCATTCCGAAATTCATCCTTCTACTCTTGTGCCTTAAGCAGTCTAAAATTTATGTCATAGAAGCTGTAAAGCATGCGCACACCAACCAGAAAAGCAGCTGTGACTAAACACGTATGAGAATATGCTGCCTTACTCATTAACAAAACATACATATGAATTACACGGCAGGAACAGGAGGTCCAGATTACATACACTATTGCGATGCTGGGACATTCATTCCCTTGTTCTCAGACTAAAGAAAACAAGTAGAGAAAAATTAAATAGTTGCTCTTTTTCTTCCTTTTGTGCATGTCAAACTTATTTGCCTTCTAACTTGAGCAAAGAAGCACCTCTGTGCATAGCAATAGGCTTATAAATCAGAAAGACAAAACACTGTCTATTTTTACAACTGCACAAAAGCAAGACAGCATGACTTTGTGGAGACAGGCAACAGAGAAAGAAACCATGAACACATATGTACAAGCAACTTACCTCTGCTTTGACTGCCTTGCTTGTGACTTCTGCCACTGTCCCTGGTCCGTCTCCACTAGCAGACTGATTCACTGGCAGAAACTTGTGCCGATAAAAGGAAGTCAAAACAAAATGAGCACTTCAGGGAAGCAGCTGTGAGTGTCATGAGCTGGCAGCATGTATTGTAGAGCGTGTTTAAGTGCTGATTTGGCAATCCTTCAGAAGTGGGGAAATCTTTGTGATGAAAAAGATCTTCTGGTTTAATTCACAAACCCAAAACGCACTATGGAGCAGGAGAGTTTACAGACTACCTACAAATCAGTGGTTAGGATGTTTAGCTGGGACCTGGGTGTTCCAGTTCGCTGGGACTGTGGCAGACCTTGACCAGTACTGTTGCCCAACTGAGGGGCTGCTTCAAATATAATCTTTTGAGATGAAAATGAGGAATGTCCAGATTCTCTCAACATAGTCTTTCAAGAACAGTCTCTGCTATTGCTTTTCATTTGTTTATGTTAACTTTACAATTCCAGACTGACCTAAATGTGTTTCCCACTGAGCATCACAACTCATAAAACCCATCTTATTCTGCATTTATCACACTCCAGTGCCAAAGAAGGCTTGAACACAACATACAAGTTTTCTCCCAGTGAGGGAACAAACAAGGGGTCTTGTTTATTCCAAGCCATTTTCATCAGCTCTGAAAACATGGTATCTTTGGAGATCTTTGCCTAATGTCTGAATTACTTATAGTCAGCCTGAGGGCTCAGTCCTCACTGAGATTGATTTGATGACCATGGGCAGTCAGACTAGTTCTGTGGCCTGGGGCAGCTGGGCTACAAACTAAGCAGAATCCTCCTACATGAGGATCAGCCTGTTCAGCCAATTAATTCACAAGTGTCTTCAGAAGAACTTGTGTTTCATCATGGACTGATGAGCATTTAGAAGAACACCAGATGAAAGGGATGTATTCTTGGGAACATCATTGCAAATGATATGATACCTTTGACTAGTGGGGGAAGGAAAAGAGTGAAATAACAGGATGTCAGTGAAGGCACAGTAGCAGTTCTGCTTTACATATTAAGTAAAGAACATTGTTTGGGAGAGTGAAAAATGTAATTTGGTATTTTCTCAGTGAAAAGCATTATAACTTGGCTGCTCTGATGTCTGTAAGTGACAACTTTCATTAAACTGTAAATCAATCACTCAGAAGAAGTTCTGCAACATGATGTCTCATCCCTCCTCAGAGAGGTGGGATCAACAGTCCCAGCGATGTGTCCAATGCTGTTTGCCCAACCTGCTTTTACTGATTTTCCAGTAAATTCAATGTCTTGCCTCCTCTGTGTTGTCTCAGGTAGTAAGATAGTTGTACAGTTGCAAGCTTTTTCTAGGTGACCTTAGGGAATGCTCTGGGTACTTTCAGGTATATTGCCATTTCATTTACCATTGAAAGTATGGAAAACTTATAATTTAGGTCTCAAGTCCTCATACATTTCCCCTACAAGCAGTGAGACAGCTGAAAGATTGACTCTCTGAAGGGTATTTGTCTCCAGGAGTTTGTATTTGGTGTAAGGAATGTCCCTGTCTGGCGGGCAGCTCTTTTGTTTGGATCAAACTCTGGTTACATTTGTGAAGCAGAAGGAAACAGGACAGGCTTCAGCAGTGGGCTCAGAAGATGAAACAGGCCTGTTGTTTGTTTTGGAAGGGAAAAGTGCAGAAGTGGCAACAGCAACGAATAATTTGTTTGGCTAATGAACCATTACACAGAGTGGGGCATTGGTCCTTTGGTCATACAGTGTCACCAGTGAACTGCCTTAGTCCAACAGCTGTACCTGCCCCTGGATAGCATCCCAGTCTTGGCACACATTAACATTTCATTCAAATGGAGAATGAAGTTGCCATGCTGAAAGAAAACCCCTAAATGCACTGTGTTTCTTTTCACAGTGAAGCTAATGGAATTTTATTGTGGAGGGATGGTGACCTATAATGGTGTAACCTAATAACCATGGAGGCTACCCTTCAACTGAGTGGTTTTGTGCAGTAACTACCTCTTTGAAACAAGATTGGTAGAGTCATAGTTACCCTGGGAAATTAATAGGATGACAGTTTCTTCAGCACTGTTTTAAAAGCAGTGCTTTTCAGTAGTGGTCAAAGTGCTCTAAATACCCATGGGGTGGAGATAATGGACTCTTTCTAACAATGTTTGGGCCCTTTTCATTTTTGTGTTTAAACTCCAGAGAGGCTGCTCAGAGCCACAATAAAGGTTAGAACAGCTCAGCTCTGTGGTAGCCAGTAGCTTACATGGGAAACAGAAGGAGATGTGAGATTCCTGTTGGGATCATGGTGTAACTTTGAACTGAAGTGTCCTGTGGAAGTGTTGCCAAAAGGAAATCAGCTCCTTTCTCCCGAACTGGAAAGATCATGTACACAAATGCTGAAAGTGTTGTCAGTAGAGACTGAGTTTGCAAATATTTCCCTATCTCAGGGTGGGCCTTGAAACCAGGTTTCCCAGCTTCCAAGTGCATACTTGAACCATGAGACTGGCTATTGTTTTCTCTCCCTGTGTCCCTTGCTCTTCCTCATGAAAACAGTGAGCAGTCCTGTTTCAAATGAAGACAAACCATCTTCTTTTCAGAAGTGAGGGGTTTTTTGTATTAACTCAGTTTTTGCTTTATGGTTACCATCTTATTTAATAAGAATACATTTAATAAATACTACAACTGTAAGAGTTAGTCTTGGCTTACACTATGCCTTTAAATAACTGTCAGCCCAATAAACTGAGAAATAATATGAAGAATGGAAAATATCTTGAGATCACTGAATGTATCCAAATTTAGGAATTGCTTTCATTACGGTTAAAGACTAAAGAATAGAGTAGGCTGCAAGCAAACCCTGTCCTCTGTTAGCAAAGTATGGTTATTGCAGAATCTAAAGTGTATCAATTCAGAAAGTATTACAGAACCACAAAGTTGCCAGAAAAGATGAAGTGCACTATCAGGATGCAAAAGGCATTGGAGTGACATGGGGTGTGCAAGAGGAACCCTTTCTTTGGCTCCAGATGCAACAGAAGGGCTTTTTTTTTTGTACTGAATGAATCTGAATGTTGTTGAATGAGTCAGGTAAGGCTACTGCTTGTGGGTTAAGGACTTCTGCATCAGATCAATAATTTCATTGTACATATGCAAAGGTGCATCCAATCCCCAGATAAAATCCAGGTGTGCCCATTCAGGAATCTTCTTGTGATAGATGAGCTTCTTTATTTTAGACAGTAAAATGGCCGCATCCTTGGGATCTGCGAGCAAGTCTTGTCCTCCAGTCCATACTGCAGTTGGTACAGTCATCTTTTCTATGTTGTAGAGAGGAGGAATAGTCTGGAAAACATGAAGCAGTACAGGAATGAATGTCCAGGAGAGCACAGAAAACTTTAAATGTCTATTTTGAGCTTTCTTCTGTCACTGCTCAAAGTAGAGGTGCCTAAACCAAAGAGGAAGGAAGTTCCCTTGCTCGCTTTTTACTCAACTGATAGCAGTGTCAAAGGTAAAATGACTCCTGGGTTGACAAAGAGTTACTGTTGGGTCTTTGCCCTCTCAACTAGGAATTTTAGGGCAAGAACCTATAACAAGACAGAAGATGTCAGGATGCCTCTGGATAAACCCTATCACGGTCCTTTTGAAGTGCTGATCAGTCCCAGAAGTCATGATCTAGATAGAAAACATATGTGACAAGGATGAAAAGGATCATAGAGTGGCTTCTGTAGGAGGAGAGGGAAAGTAGCTTAGGACTTCTGAGTTTGGAAAATAGAGACCAGAGCAAGTACAGGAGACAGGATTATACAGTCACAAATAGTATGAAGAAAGAAACAAGAAGTAATTATCCCATTACTTCTCATAACACAAAACCTAAAAGGCATCCAGTGACTTTCCAGGAGCAAGCAAATTCATGTCAAACCAAAAGAAGTTGTGTTTCATGCAAACCATCATTAGAACATGTAACTCATAATGACAGGTTGTTATGGAGAACTAAAGGGTAGGAGGGTCAAGGATGGGATTAGAGTCTTGAATGGAGAAGATGTTCCTCAAGGTCTTTTAGAGGACAAAGTCCTTTTGTCTCTGGCTGTCAGAATTTAGGGGTGGCTGTTAGTTCTCCAGTTGTACTCTTCCTAATAGTGTTTCTGTGAACTCTCATGCATAGTCAACTGTTTCAGTTCCACTAGTAGGCAAGATGTCTCTGTTCTTTTCCATTAATTTTTGTTTTCAATATCCATTTCATATTAATTCTGTCCTTACTTCCTCTTATTCCTATTGATCAAGTAATTGAAAAGTTTTGCTCTTCCCTGTTCTCTTTCTTCCTTTTAAAATGTCTTAGATTTATCATTTCATTTATCACATTTTCCATTAGTGCTTGCATGCTTTCTCCATTGACTTCCCAAGTGAAAAGTAGTAATATTTTCATCTACTAATATTCTGAAAATGTGTCTCCTACTACATACTTGCTCTCTTCCCGTGTGCTTCTGTGATGTCCAAGGGTGATAATATTGTTTGACCAAAACATACCTGTTGGTATTTTTCCATGTTCTTCTTTGAACTTCCCCAGTCATAAGCTTGGAACTTCCCCGAGCGGGCCACCTAGAAGGATGAACAAGGGAAGGGCAGTTATAAAGCCACTGTTCAGGAAGTTTGTGTGTTCTTTTCCTGCTGAGCCTCTGACTCCAATCTAAAGCCCTAACTGAAGTTCTTCTAAGAGCTATGAAAGAGTCAATAGCAAATTAAGTAAAAGTGTCAAACAGTGAAAAGGAGCCAAATATTTTTGTCAGAACCAAAAAAATCATGTCCTCCACAGAAAGACCAAGAGATGTCCTTGCAGACAATTTGTTCAGGTCGGAAAACTGCTAAAAACAACTGCCTTCAGCAAGTTCCCCTTACTGCTACTGTCTTGTCCTCTTCTGACAGTCATTTTGCCATCACTTAGCTCTGTGAGTGGCTCCATCTTATGTTTTCTCTTCCCACTCTACTTTAAGTACAGAAATCACCATTTCTAGTTCTTCTCAGGGGCTCCTTGGCTTTGCCTACAACATGGGTTGTTACTACTGTGAGACATACCTTCAATGGGATCTTAACATTGAAAGTCTATTCGCTCCTTGAATAGTAATAACAGCAAGGACAGTGAAGACTTGGGAATATTACTTTTGCATGCTTGTGCTTGCCAGTCTGTGGTTAGATGCTGAATTACATCTGCGTCAATTTGCAGACCTTCCCCCACTGTGTTTCTGGGACCCTTTTTCTTTACAGGTCTTTACATGGTTACAAAAGCAACTTCATCAAATCTAATATCTTATGTGAATTCACAGCCAAAAGTAATGTTTAATTTTGAGTAAATGCCTATGCAGATGTCACTCCAACATTCCCACGCGTTTGCTGTGCTGAAAAGTGCGTTCACACTCCCGCAAGCTCACTGTGCTCAGCGCTGCTTCCTGCACTGCTCCAGAGCCTGTGGTGCAGCCTTGAAAGCAGCCTTGTTACAGGGGCTTCTGTGAGTGAGCCCAGGCTTTATGAATCCTGAAAGTGTGAGCCCCAACACAGAAAGGCAGCTCCCATCAGCATTGCTACCACAAGGGTTCTGGGGCAGTACCTTGTAGGTATGGGATATGAAGAGCCTACTAAATAAAGGGTTCATTATTATTTATGATTATATTGCTGTCCAGACAGTGAGACCTTTGAAAGCAAGAGATGAAACTATATGGTCTTTTACTAGTAAAACTGAATCATTTACATAGCAGCCTAAGTCCTGCTCATTTCTTGACTCCACACTGGAAACATGACTAATGTCTTAAGCTAAGTTCTGTACAGAACTGTGGACATCATTTATAAAAGGTACTAGATACACAATAAGAACAGTGATAAATACAACTGGATGCACAGCTTCCAGAATACATGCTTTTACACAAATGCAGCACTTCACTGTTGCCTTCAAATGTACCTGTATCACACAGGGTATTCCTATCCCGATGGTAAAAGAAAGATCAATGAAAAACAGCCTTTTGAATTGAGGTTTCAATTGTAAACCACAGGTTACATGTGTGTCCAAGAAATAACCAATGGCTTCGTAGCAAGGTATCTCTATACCTCTCAATTCAGCCCAAGGTGAGTATGTATTTTGTCTTCCAGGCATTTGCTCATACCTGACTCCAATGGACTATGTTCTGTACAGAAGTTCCAGCGGAGGTCTGGGCAATATACACATTGATTCGGTTCTGAAAGAAAATACTCAGTGAGCACTCTCTTCTTCCCTTCCATTCAGAAGTACATCAAAATATCTGCTACAGCAGTGTCATGTATTTATAAAGCCAATAGAAATTGGACTGGGATGACTGGAGACTCCCTCAGATTTACTCCAGATATGGCAATGTGTTAGAGTAGCACTGGAAGAACAATCCCCAATCAGAACATTTTCCAGTATGACAGAATCTGGAAGAATCTACAGGTGGAAGTATAGAATAGAAAGTCAGCAATTTAGACCCCAAACTAGGTGGCTTTTTTTCAGAAGTCTGTATCAGATGTGAGAGAGCATCGCTGTAGGGCAGAACAGCAATGGGAAATGTAACTGCCTTAGGAATGCATGCCTATTTGAAAGAAAACACACTCTGGTCCTGCCAGGTTTCTTAACAAGCTGCTGCATGATCCTTCCTCAGCAAACACACTCTGAGGCATTTTTTGAGAAATGTTGGAGCAAAATTTTGATGTGATCTGACCTAGAGCTGAACATAGCATGAGGTGCCCAAGTATGTCTTAATAACCCCCTGCAGTGTCTGCCAACTCTCTCTCAGGTACCCCCAAGGTATCTTGTGCCTCTGGGCACATCTCTGATGATCCAAGGCATGGAGGAGGACAAGGGGAAATATATGTGCTCATTTCTCTGTTGCAAAGAGAAAACATGAAGTGTTTTATTTCTTCTTCTGCAGTGTGCCAGCATACTAAATATTTCTCATGAGACCAGTGGCAGACACAGTATGAACCAGCATATGGTGCCCTGGGTGAGGTCTGGCAGAAGGCAGACTACAGAGTTTTGGGGGGCTCTGAGCAGCTGTTGACTGTTGACTGCTACCAAGTGCTCTTCTGAGGAGTGAGAAAGTGGTCCCCTGTTAGTGATAGGGCAATTAGCAGATACCACTGTCCAATAGTGGGGACTGCTCCCTGCAATGTTACACTAATAGAAATTCAGGATTTATACCACAGGATAGAAGATGAGTTTTGGAAGTATAAGCTTAAACTCTCAGTAGAGCTGGTAAGAGTTATACATACCACATCAATGTTTTTCAAGTTGCAGCCACCCAGACTGAAGAAGACACTTCTACAAAGCCCAGCTAAAGCTCGGTGGCTGCAGACAGGGGCTATTATCCTTCTTAGACCTTCAGTCTGGGGAAGGAATTCCTTTTTGCCAAGCATACTCTATGAAATACAAAGTAACATTCATTTAAGAATGTACATTATTCCTCTTTTCCAGCACTTTCAGTGGTTCTTACTTGCTTTTCTGCATTTGCCAGTTGATATTCCCACAAACAAGAAAGAAATAATTTGGTTTTCTATCGCATCAGCCTTCTTGGCCATTACTCAATTTCTGTTACATCACTTTTAATGAAGAGATATGTTAAACTTTAACTCCAGTTCATAGTTTTAAGTTTGTGTATCAGCTGTGGTTTTGTCTACACAAATCTTGGACACCTTTGAAGATCTGCATCTCTGTGCCTCTCTGGGTGACCTGTCCCAGTGCTGCAGTATTGCCTCCGATAGAAAGCTTCTCTCAATGCCCAGTCTGAACTTTCAAGGCTTCAGCCATAAGGTAGACCTACCCACATGCAAATGAGTAGACTTCACAAAGCCCTGTACTTCCTGTTTAACCATTTTAAGAGCTGAACAAGCAAGTGTACAGTTAAACAGTCAAAACCAAGATATCACATACCCTGAGCACTTTTTCAGGAAGGTAGAGGAGTTTTGTGGCCGGGCCTTTAGCATACTTAATAGTAGTGACAGGTGCCAATGCAAAATAGAGTTTGATTCTTTGAGCCAGCTCTGGCATTGCTGAAAATGCAATGAAAGCTGAGAAAACAAAAAAGATGAGTCAAAAAACCATTGTTTGTACATTTTTTTTCATTATTAATAAATGCTATTCTGCAACTCCAAGCCTACAAGTTACGTTGTTAGTTGCTGAGAGACTAGGGTTCAGCTTAGATTTATGTGAAATCCCTCTTCTCCATGAGTTAGCAGCTTGTAGGTTTTTTTCCCTTTTTGGAAAAATTTATTTCTATATTTTGCCTTTGCAGCTTTCTTGCAGGCCTGTTTAAACATAAATGCATACTTCTGATGTATATTCATTCATTTCATATACTACTGGGAGGAGAAGTTGTTTTTCTTCCTGTCAGTTCGATTTTATGTTTTCTTTTTTTGCGTGTACATCCAGTCCAAACTGGCCAACTTCTCTTTCTGTACTCTCATCTTCCTGTTTCGTTTATTTTGGTCAACTGACTAGATGCTGTTGGGCACACCCCTGCATCTTGGAAAGAAACAATTTTGATGGCCCATGGTAATTTCCAGTATAATTTTAAGTTGACAGACTTCCAGTAGCAGTGCATTTGATCCATTACATTTTACTGTCTTCATAATAAATTTGAAATGTGTTTTTCACCCCTAAAAAGAGTAAATGAAAACTGCAGGTACATTCAGTAGCTCAGTATCTCAAATCACATTTTACACCTGTTTTCCTGAAGCATTCATCTTCTGTGTGTAACTTACCATTGGTAGTACCTTGTGAATAGCCAATATAGTACAACTTTTCCTGTCCTGTTTTCTCCACAATGAAATTTATTGCTGCTGGAAGATCAAACCTTGCCATCTCATCAAAACTGCAGTCAGGAGATTGAAAGAGAAGGATGCATAAATGAAAAATCAGACATTGAATTGAATCCACATTTTTCGTAATGGTCTGTCAGCAAAGAAGCAGTCTGAACCATTTAGTGAAGCATTCATCTGTTTTAGGTTCTGTGTTTTCCTAGCACTGGGTATGGAAGATAATACTCAAGATTTTCTGGGGTAATTTCTCCCTTGATTTTAACAGAAGGACCATAGCTTCAAGAAGTGTCAGGCTGAATTGCTACACAGAAGAAACAGGTGGTGATATAATAACAGAGCTCCTTTCATGGAATTACACATTTTATACTGTCTGACATTAAAAAAAAAAGTCTGTTTCTAAAAGGTCATTAAAATAAATGTAAATATTATTTACATTTTCTCCTTCTGTGACTTTTGTGTTACTGCCAAAATTGCCTCCAGGGCATAGGAATGGCTTGGAGATCACCTGTGAAGGTTCCTCTGAGTTGCTCTGCTGCTATGCCTCTAGTTTGAAGAACCTGTTCTAGCAGTAATTAAAGTAGTCTCCATTACTATTACAGTTCACATGCACGTATAGGAGCACCTCAGCAAAAGTGAATGTAAAGAATGCTTTTTAAAAGGTGGAATTTTTAGCCAGCTGAAATTAGTATGTGAGGATGAGCAATGGATATGCCCTTCAGTGGTTCTGTCTACCTGAAAGCCCAGAATTCATCTTGATCAATGGAATAATTTTCATGTTTTCTTGACCAGCGATTCCCTCTGCTATTTCCCATCCAAACGTCAAAACCAGCATCAGCTAGCATGAAGCCCAAGCTGTTGTTGGGCAGGTTTGTGACCCAGTTACTAGCATCTCCCAATAATCCATGCTGGAGAAACACAGCAGGTTTCGAAGCTGAAAAGCAAATCAGAAACAAAACAACCATTTATAACTTTTTCTTCTTCTTTTTTTTTTTTTTTTTTTTTTTTAACTTGTAGTTCAGGGACATTATTCAACACTGGGGCTTGTTCCTGCATCAAGTAATCATAAGAACAAAACGTCACTGTCTGCAAGAGAGAACTTCTAAGCTTCTATAAGGTTTTATGGAAAGATGTGCCTGATATCTAACCTGGCACCATCTGGTCATTGTTTGGTAGCTCAGCTGCTTCAGCTTGAGATTCTCAATTCTGATATAGAGAATGAAGGTGTGGGATTGTTTGAAGAGGTTTGCTTTACTCAAAATACAAATCAGCCACAGATATTAACCTGGTGTAAGCAAAAGCAAAGCAAAATTAGAAGCCAGAACTGCTTTCTCAAAACAGGCTGATTAGGCAGATTACAGCCTTTATCCTACTTTTTTTTCTTTTGTACCTTTTACTCATCAACTCTTATTAGGAAACATATGCTTCATATTATAATGAATTTTTGTTATAAATAGGTGTACTTCAGATAAATTCTGTACATCTTGTTCAGGGCAGCCAGAACTCTCTTAAAATTTCACTCAGGTATACAAGCTTTGGTGGACATTATAGAAATACAGCGTATCATTTTTTAGAACATGCCCTATCTAGGCTGGCCTTGTGTCATATTAAAGAACTGTACCTGAGCTTCCTTGATTCTGAGTACCATAAGGGATTCTGTTAATGGTAATGATATAACCATCTTCTGTCATCACTTCATACTGCTCGCTGGGGTACCCTTTGTAAGTAATGAGCTCATTCTAGAAGAGAAGGTACAAATGCATTTGCTTGCCAAAGTCCATTTCATATACTACATGCATAAGATAGGTGGAATGAAGAAATGCTAGAAAGCAGATTGGGCATTAAATCTACATATATTAAGCATCTGAATAAAGCAGTATCAGACTGAATATTGCAACCCTCAAAAAACCCAACAAATTTGCTTTATTCTTTTTGTTATATAGAGAGTTTTACTATTCATTTTAAATATGACTTGTAAAACCTGTATTATACTCTTGCCATACAATCATCACAAGCCCTTGCATTCTGATGATAAAATAATCACTGTAAACTCATAGCAGGAGTTTACGAGCTGAGAGGAGATGTGTGGCTGACATGAGGAGCTGCCTGGGTGCAGTGCTCCTGGTCTGCTGCAATGGAAGCTGTAACCAGTTTATCTAAACTACCTTCAGAGAAACCCAGAAAGCTTCACAACTTCCCTGTTGTGAACTGCATAGATTCAATGAGTACTGCTGAGAATTTGACTACATTATGAAAAAAACAAGATCAGGCAGTTGCATAGTCATAAGGGAAATCACTATCACAACCCACCTTAAGATCTGAAGTAAATATTACTTTTGACCTATAACATTCAACCTGTTTGTTTCAAAAGAGAATTGTTTTTTATAACCTGTTCTCAGAGAATTACTCAATGTATTTTGTCATGCAGGACAGAAACACCACGATTTTAAAAAGTGACTAGAGACCTAAACAAGTTTGCTTGGCAAGAGGTGTTCCTCTGAAAAGCTGGCCATTTCTGATCTATGCTGGTCACCACTACTTATTTAGAGACTTCTTTGCTGATGAAGTGTTGACATTCCAGATGGCCATTCTTTCAGATATGCAGGTAGTGCCAGCAACCGCAAACTGGTAAGTGATACGTAAGAGGAAATGAACTCTGGTAGATTTACTAAGGAAAGGTGTTTGCCTCAATTTCTATCAAACAGGAGATGTGCTGTTAGACATGCAAACAGAAAAGAATAGAAGAGAAAGCAGTACTATATACAGTGGCTACAGAGGATAGGTCAAATAAAGCAGCTTATCTACCTTGTTTTTTCTAACACTTAGAAACCTCTCTAGAGACATGCATCATGTCCATCCTCAGGTCACTCCACAGAGCAACTTACAACATTCATAAATGCTTCAGGATCCACAGCTCTCTCCATTCTTTTCATTTCTTCTGAATAAGTAATTCCCTGAAACAAATATGTCACAGCAACAAACAGCCATATCTTCTCTCTGCAAAAAATGATATATTCATCTGTCAGTAGTCCTGCTCTGCACTTGTAATCCCGACAGGTCTCCGATGAGGAGAGTTCTGCCTAATAGTAAATGGAGCCAGTCTGGTACACCCTACTTGTTAATTAAACAGAACAAAGCTGATTTCAAACACCTATCTGAGGGAGTTTGGCAGCAACCTGGATTATCTGCTAAGGAGTGGACCAGGATGTTGCTCTTGATCAGGGCAAAAATATCAATAAATCCAAGGAAAGAAGCAAAGTTTTTGGAGAAATAGATGTCACTTGTTTGTCTAAGGAGTAGGTCACTTGCATTACCACAGCACACATTTTTTCTGTAGATGAATTTGGAAACATTTCTGGCTAACCCTGCAAACAGGGGTGTTATTGGGCAATTCATAAGTAAATCAATCACTGTCAGTGAAGTTTTCAAAGCGCAGACAACCAAGTTAGTGGATAGTTAGCTGAAAAAAAGCAAAGACAATTGAAATTAAAAAAAGTAAATAAAGGTAAATATCATTTAATCAAAAACTTAGGAACCTAAATAGAACAGTTACTTATATTTGCCTGGTGAAATTTATTCAAAACTGCTTAATGGCAAAATTTTTTCAACTCTACAGGATGAGGATGGGGAAAGGAAAAGAAAGCTTTGCTAAATGTAATGCTAGTAGAGCATAAGTGCAGGTACATCCAGTTTTGTTCAGCAAGTAAGGAACAAAAAACCGTGAGAGGTAACTACCCTGCTTAGATGCACACATAGCAGCTCCACTTTCTGCAAAGACCAACATACTCTTACCTCAAAGAAAACGCAATGTTTGAATTAGCATCCTTTCTACACTACACAAACCCCTGGAGGCCACATCTGAACTTCTGCTGTCCCAGTAATAGATCTTTAAGCCAGACTTAATCAGCCAAAAAACCTATTGTATTTATTGTTTTCCTAATCAAGAAGACTTCTAAAGGGTTTTTTCCAGAGTAATACCATAGCCTATTTTTTTCTTATCACAGAACAATTTATATTCTAACTTCCTAGCACTACATCCTGGTACAATCTGTGTGTTGAAAATACTTGTCTCCTTTTGCAGAAAAAGGAACAGATGTTTAGAAACCCTTTGTTTTACTGAGTTAGCCTCCTTTCTTTCGGTTTAAAGTCACTGCTTTCTTATTCCCTCTCTTTTCATTTTCCCATACATCTGCAGCTATCCCACAGTTACCTAAATTCAAGGTAGGTGAGCCAGGTTACTCCTCTTTATCCAAAAGGAACTTTCCAAGAAATAGCCATATGGTCACCTACACGAGTTACAAACAAAACAATACAACAAAATATATTTGTTTCCAAATATTAAAGCAAATCCTCAAGCTCAGGTTTGATACCATCTTTGGCAACTCCCACAAAGTCTTCATCAGTTTTGGATATTTGGAAATATATATATTTGGAAATAATTCAAAGCATTACTGACCTTGTGCCAGAAGTCATGACTTTGGCTGAGCAACTGTGGCTATTGAAGAACAGAAACTCAATTCCTGGCTGTTAGGAAGCTGTACTGTATGAAGATGGCAGTGAAATGATGGTCATGCACTGCTTTTCCCCCAGTCATGCAGCACCTTGACAACAAGTAGCTATTTCTTCCCCACTCCTCATTTCTTCTGTTATCACTTCAGCTTTTCCCTAAGGTAGCACCAGGGAGATGCAACTCCTTTTATCCTTAAACCTCATGCTTTCCAGCTCCTTAGCCACAACAGCTATAACAAGGCTCTTTCACTATCACAGATTGCTGGATTTTTAAGGAGAATACCAGCCTCTGTGGAGTGGTAGAGCAGGATCAGGAATTTTGAAAACAAATACATTCATAGATATACCTTATCATAACTAATGAAATTGTCAATAAATCTGCAACAATTTTCTTTTTTAATAACAACCTACCATTCCATCTTCTCATGTTATCTCGAAAGGATGGAAGGAACTCTGACTCTTGATACCTCTACAGATGTTATTGCGCATATTTTTCTTTTATTCTTTTAATGCTCTTGTTGCTGTTCTATAATTCTACATTGATGAAGGAGTGGTTTCAGTGGTTTTCCTCTATTTATATTTTCACCTCTCAGATGGCCATAGAATTGAATAGATATTTCTTAAATGAATAGTTATGAAACTAGTATGCTTTTCTCTAAGCTGTATGGACTCAGGATACATCACCATAATGGGCAGACTTGTGTCAGTGGTCTCATGCATACTGGGAGTGGGCCAATATTGTCCTGCAATGGAAATTAGGTAGGTCTGAGTAGACAGTTATGTCTTTGGGACAGTGGCCTTTGTGAGGGTCTTTTTTGGAGCCATGTTTCACCACATGAGTGGTGTCTTCACTACAACTACAGTACAAACTTTGCAGAAGTATGATTGAGGTTTTTTTTTTTTCACTTGTGTACTCTGATATAAACTGGTGGGTTTTGCATTCTGCCTTTCCAGCACATATTTTTAAACCTTGAAACTAATTATTCTTTTTTGTTCATTTCCCTATACTTGTTCTTCCAAATATTCATTCTGTCTTACAGATACTGTTCATCCACATAGAATAGATCAGCTTAAACACTGAGATGAATGTTAACCAAGGTCTTGGACAGGCTTTGACATTTCTATTTATTTTATAGCTTGCATGCTTTCTTCTTGCAATACTGGCTGTTGTTGGGACCAAAAATATTTAATATATCCTTAGAAGTTATTTTCTTTAATATTTACAGATCAAAAAGAAATACGAAAGAAAATCTCAAGAGAAGACTTGTTCCTACAAGACTTGTTATCAGGCCTTCAAAGAGAAATGAGAAGGTCTGAGTTCAGTTTCTGGCAAGGAATTAGGAGAGGAAATGATTTTCAAAGAGCTGGTTTAGGACATGGAGGGTTTTCAAATATTGACTCTATACATGGGATGGAGTGGTTTTTTGAACCTTCTCATTATTTCCTTCCATATACTCTAAGTTCTTTCATCTTCCCTCTAAGAAAAGCAGGTTTTCCCCTTTTTAAAGTCTCAGCATTTCATGAGTGAGGTGTTTAAATGCATGCTTGTCTTCGAGTACCTCATGCTATTCTAAGTCATTAAGATGTGCTATTACCTCGTGGTGAACAAAGCCAGCTTCATTCTTTAGTGCAAAGTAATGATGTTTCAATGACAAAAATAATTCAGTAAAAAAAATATTGTGTAAAAAGACAAGGTATAAATGGCACAATACCATAAATAACAAACTATTGGATAAAGTCATTGCAGGTTATTGGCATTACGTGTTCGAAGTGAGTGTTTGAGGTGGGGAAAGAAGATGAACAACAGTGAGTATTGGGCTGATGTTTTAAAAAAAATAGACATGCACACTCTGTTTCAGGGGAAGTTACTCACATTCTAGTCAAGTGTAGAATTAAGTGGAAATGCTTAAAGGTTGAGATGTTGCTGTCAGAGGTGTGGCTGCATCTTCACAAATGTGGTCATATGTAAATGAACTTTTAACTGGTCTCTCTAGGTGCCCTTATATAAGTAAGTACTTCTGTATAAATTATTAACTACACACTTGGTTTATGAAAGTCAACTCCTTCAGTGCTTCTTATGGATGAAAGCCCCAGCAATGTCCATCACATAATCCCTAGCATTTTGATGTTTTCTGTAAACTCTTTGCTCTCCCCATTCTCTCCTGTTTTGGGAATTAGACCTGGCTCTGAAAGAGACTTAGGAATGAAAGATATTTGTTTACAGCTGAATATAGCAGTTCATCATGGATCAAATATGTCCTTTTGGCTTCTTCATCCAGCTAGTGTACATACTTATCAGAAACACTTGGCTATTTTAAGTATGTTAAGGAGGGCCTCTGAGGGGAGGTGTGCTTTATTGAGAGACAGACTTGTTTTTGTGAAAGCTGCCGCCCAGGAGTCTCCAAGGGAACACAAAGCAGCAAAAAACAGAAGAAACCCCTGAAGCACTCATATGGCTTTAAAAACATTTCATGCCATAATGGTGCAAGCAGTTGTTTCTGGAGAGTTAGTAAAGCACTGAGAACTAAAAACAGGGTCTAATAGTGTGCTCTCCACATTATCCCTGGGATAATACAGTTAATAATGCAACGACTGCCCTCAGCCACCTGCCCCATACTGTTGCCTTGGCTGGACCACTGTTGACTCCCAGGACAGGCGGATTTTGGGGCATGAAGGCAGACCTTCCCTAATCAGCAATGGACCCTACACCTCCAAACAGTGAAGGAATTCGTCCCAATGAAGTCCACACAAAGAGAGACTGAAGTGCAAAAGCATAAAGAACTAGTGCAAACAGGTGCTGAACACTAGCGAGAACAGGGTGGAAGATTCTCCTCAGCTCTGTCGGGCCTGCAAAAATATTCCTGGTGCTCATCATCAAGGTCAATGGCATGGGCTTCCAGCGGATTTCCAGCAACGAGGATGTGTCACAGTATTCATAAGTGATGAGTGAAGTAGTTCTGAGCTTAGATAATTATGAAACTTGGGTGTATAGGTATAGTAAGAAATGTCAAAAGGAAGGGCTCATGAAGGACAGAGAGGGCTGCATACCTGCCTCTTCTGCTCACACTCCCGACTCCTTGTCTGGAAATGTCCCAGGTAGTGTTGGCCTCCTACCAGTCACCCATAGAAGGGGCAGCTTGCAAATGAAAAGCTCAGCACCAACCTCTCTGTTAACTTACAGAGGGGAAATACTATCTGTGAAAGCAGCAATTATTTCTACAGTACTCTTTGGCTGATGCTGAAGTTTGTGAGATGTATGCAAGCCAGGATTTCTTAATTTCTGAGGGTGGATGAAGTCTGTGTTGCAATTTATAAGCTTTGCATAACTGTTCAAATTTTTTTGCCCCATAATATGCAGGTAAGTAATTTTTATCCTTCTGTTGATTTTGGAGTAATGTATAGAGTAATATCTCATTACCCCCATAAGTATCTACTGTAATTAGAGAAAAAAGGAACCCACAAATCTGCCTACACATGTGGAAAGCTGAAAACCAAGCATACTTTATTTCTCTTGCACTTGTTGCTAAATGAAAGTCTTGGGGGTGTGAATTCAAATCCTCTGGCAGAAGAACTGGAATCAGTATGAGCACTATGCAGGGCTTAGGCTCTGGGTGCACCAGTCAGTGTCAGTGAGTGTCCTGGTGAACATGGGCCATTAAGCATTGGCAAGCTTGGACTAATGAATGAGAGTGGGGCTGGGTCATGCAATGTGCTACGGTCACTTTTGTGTTGGCATCAACAGGACCTACCCAGCTATTTTTAAGGATGGGTCAGAGGGACTGTGGGCAGAGTGGCCTGGGTTTTGCTTAAAGCTAAGAATTAAAGTAACAGGTTTTCTCTGAGACAGAAGGAGGTTGCTGGGGGTGGGTGCGGGGGTGTTAGAAACAGGATCCCAAAACCTCTGTCCTCCACTTAAGCTGGGACTTTTGCATACCTGTAACTGGGCTAAGCAAGGGTTGAGTTGGCAGCAGCCTGGAGTGGGCAATGAGATTAGATCAGGGGTGGGCACCAAGATGGATGCAAGCTGGGACCACCAGCTCTCTTCACATGAATATCTTTTCCTTGCCATCTTTCTGCTAGAAAATTCTCTTCAAATATGAATTCCACTACTAATCATCTCCATCATGGTTTGTTGAATTTTTTCATGCATAAAAGGCAACATCCCACTTTCTTTTGCTATGTCAACAGGTTAGATAATCATAGATGTGTCTTTCCAAATCATAAAGCCCTTATTTTTTTTGCTTTTACCTTTGCACACAGTAGGAATTTCATTTGAAACAAAAAAGGTATTGCTAACTCATAGATCCAACACCTTTTCTTTAAAAATTACCCATACAAATTGCTGTTCTGTTCTAGGTGTCAACATTAATTTTCCCACTTGAAACAGTCTACTACAAAAAACCAAAAATGAAATATAAAGTAATTATAAAATTAAGATGATTGCTTTGCACTTAGGGCTTAAAATATTGTTTTGATCTTTTGTAAGGAAAATGGAGCATGATAAAAATATTTTAACCTTAGCTATAGAAGTGTGCTTTAAATAGCACAGCTGCTTATCCAATATAGTCTGTGTTTTCAATAGAAGCTTTCCCTTATAAAGACAAAATTTGTATGCTGACCCCAAGGCGATTCTTTTCAAAACCAAATGAAGAATCTACATGTTCTATTTTACTTATGTCAACAAAATATTTCATTCTTTTGCTACGTGAAGGAAGTTTACTTCTAAAATGTTAGTGCCAACACACTGTTCCACAACATTGCACAAAGGACAAATGAAACTTATGGACCACTTTCAAGCTCTGCTCCACTGGATGTTGCACTAGACATTCCAAGTTTTCATGAAGCAAGAGAATATTCTTTAATTAAGAAAACCAATATTAGACAAAGGCATAATTCTTACTGTCACAAAGGAAATCCACGTCTTTTTTATGATCGTGATGACCTTTAGAAGCATTTTATGAAGT